AATTTATAAATGTTTGATTTTTTGAAATTTTTCTATTTTTTGAATATCTATGTTCAATTTACTGCTGCTGAAACTTAGATAACAAAATTTTGGAATTGATGTTAAATTTTGTTTGTAAATTTTGTTTAATTTTGATGTTAAGATTTAACAAAGAAAAAAAATATTATTTTGAACTGAACGTATTCAAGAGTAAGGAATATTGTAACGAATGCGAGCATTACCAAAATGAAATAGATGGTGTGAGCAAATGTATAATCAGCTCTAAAACTAATATCCACAAATCTTAACAAATCAAAACCTTAAGTCAATGAGAGTCTTACCTCTACTGTTGACCGTGACCGTGAATTCCGTAAAGCTTTATATGGTGAGATGCATGATTGATGTCGGAATGTCTACATTTTTGTCACTTCGATTACCTTTGCAATAGCTATTAATACTTTGTTGCATATACATTATTATTTTGTTCACATAGTATTATAGCCTTAAGGCTAAGAAGGATGATAGCGATGATAAGTGATGGTTGGTTGACATTCCAACTTAGGAGCATTTTTACATCATCACATAATGTCAGATTTTCACCATGTGTATGATGGACTGCGTTGTAGCTGCATCCAGCAAAAACTCCATCAAAGTAAATCCTAGACTGATGCTATCATAGACTTTTGCCTACAATACATCAGCCTATAGATACAAAACTCAAGTTAAAGCCTTAGATTTCCCAAATGCAGCAAGTGAGCCTGAATCCCGTATGAGAAAGACTATTGAACCTATGAAGCAGCGGTGCTTGATTTCTTTGTATTGCATTGATGGGAATTTCATCCACTGATCATGATTTGTACCAGTTATCTAACTCCATGCTTGTCATCCTTGAACACAACCTATAATCGTCACATCAACCAGATTTTGAACAATCTTTTACTTCAAATGTATTATATAGTTGGTATGACTACAAAATATTGCTTTTTAAGGTCCTGGGATCTGAAGAAGCAATGTTCTTCCTCATAGGCAAGACTTGTGATATATCTATGTGTCAGTGGGCTCTTATAAAATGCTTGTAAGTCCTTCTTGAGATGAAAGCTGGATCGTCTAGGACGAAGATTACCAAATGGAATATCCATCCATGTTTTCCTTTTCTACCTTGTTCTAAGTACTCCGATAAGTATGGGTACATATCCAGTCTCTAATTTACCAAAACCTGGACTATGAAGTTGACAAAACGGCAACTGCCTAATATAAACGAGATGATTTAAGTTTGTTCAAGAGCCTTCAGATATCGAAAAACCGAAAAACGGCTTTAGCATTGTAGTCTAATTAATTTCCTCACCAGTACCCTTTTCAACCGGACATTGAAAATTTATTGATCCGACTGTGGCGAGTGGAAGACAAACTTGTTACATCATAAGGAATGAACTTTCTCCTACGGCAAAGTTCCTGCCAAGGTCTGCATTATTGCCCTGCAAACTGTACATTCAGCATAAAGCCTGTGGTAAACTACATATTGCAATTAATTGCACTGAATTTACATTTGTAGCTGCACACAATTGCCCTGAAATCCAGTTATTGGACATATTCTTCCAATCCATGGTATGTATGTATGAAAAGAGATTCTCCAGGAACGTGCTAGCTCTGCAGTCTATGTGAGCACTCCAAGTCAGGCAATGGAGGGTGCAAAACTTCCAATAAGCCTTAATCTTTTATTCATGGTATATAAATATACGAACTATCTGCACCTCAAAATCGTCTTACTCCAGAAGCAAGCTCTACCACGAGGAAAAGGGTCAGATTTTCAGCAATGTGCCAGAAGGAAAACAGAGCGTGGGCAACTGCCAAAAACCTATTTCAGCAGATGACATGCAACAACATACAGTCAGGGCTAGCCTGCCAATAGCGGTGTTGCTCCATACATGTATGTAGTACAGAAAGCATATATTGTACTCGAGAAAGATTTGGGCAGTAGGAATCGGCTCACGGAAGTCAGAAAACCATTAAATGTTGGTATGTTGCATTCAGTCCAGTGTTGCCACATGTATATATAAAATCCCTTGTAAGCTCGGGTGTATCGACTTCTCAGATTGAATAGAAAGATGTACACCCTGGCTTTCTCTTACATCAAGGGTTTGATTTTTCCCAAGCTGAAAAGGCTACAGCCGGCGCAAAATTCTAGCTACGATGGACAGTTATAATTCAACACGTAGAGGTCTCCCGCTGATCGAGATTTTGTGGACGAAAGGGGGCCGGGTTTAGAGACTCCGTATTAAATAGCCTTCGCATTCTGCCGGTTTGCTTATTTATGTTTATATTTTTGCAGCTGTTAAGAGGCAAAAATCGAGCCCAAATCTTCCAACACACAATTCGAAAAACTTGTATAAAGACTGAAACATGCCAACATGTTTGGAAATAATCTTATGAAGTTCAAGTTTATAGTCCGAGTCCAAAAGAGACTTCTTTGCATAAAAAAAAAATCAATAGCTCGGGATTGGCTTGACTCTTCTGCTTCAAGCTGTATTGTTTCGAAGATCGAGAACTTTGAAACGTTAAAAATCAATATCGTCAACTAACCGGACTCTTTTGGATGTTTGTAGTAAATGCATTTCATGACACCATGAAGAATAGTTGTGCGCTGGGTTTGTGGGTTTTGCGGCCTGATCATAACAAGGTGTCGGATATACTCTAAGACGTCGTAAAAGTCTTTTCGGACTAGTTGACTTGTAGTTGTAGAAGCTGAGGTTGTTGCTGAAAGCATAGGCAGAGAGAACTTTCTTCTCCTTACAATGAAGCTCGGGTTTTGATACTTGGTAATAGAGGTAGAAGGCTGTTTAAGTTTAGATGTTATACCTGTTCCCAGAATTTCAGTCAACTTCATATTTCTGTTTCAAGTTCATTTTAGCAAAATTGAATTACAAACAAACACATATTCCACAATCATTTCAAGGGACAAGAAAACAACGTTCAGGTCATGTGGTCCCGAAAGAGCCACTTCGATTGGTTAGCAGATTCTGTAAGCAGCTGAGAATAGCCTCACCAGGAAACTTTCCACTTCTTTTGGTTGCGTCTCTTGACCACCTGCAAGTTTCTGGAGATCTAGAAGAATGTAGTGTGAAGCGGGGTTTATCAAATGGAGAATGTTGTTGCTAGAATACTACCGAGTCCATCCACCTACTGCATGGAGCTCACACTTGTGAGATAGTTTTATGCCTCCATCATGCTTACAAGAGAAGATGTACCCACGAAGGCCAACTGTAATAATTGTTGACTTGAGTTTGGAAAGATCCTTTTCTTCGTAAATGCAACTCCTTTGTTGTCACTACAGCGATCACCCGATGGCTGTACCCGATTGGTCAACCATCCATCAGATGATACTTTCCGATCGGGTCTTGCTCGGGAACTTATGCCAAATCCAGGTCCTCGGTGCGTTCCCACGAATTCAAACATCAAGAGCAATTCAAAGACTGTCGAAAGCTCAGCCCAGCTAAAACTTGCCCGAATTGTACAATATGAATGAGGATATCGGCCTCTGTAGCTCGCGATACATGTCCACGAAATGTCTGATGCGGTCAAAGTGCCAACAGGTGGTGGTTGGTTAGCTTCTGTTAAAGATGGGACTACAGACATCCACCTCTCGAGAGCCTCTGGAGATGGATGTCATGTGGAGGATAGAGCAGAATTTACTCCCCGCCGTACACGAAGCGAAGCTGTGCAAGATGGTAAAAGTGACGGGAAATGTCTGCTCGGAGAGGATCGGACGATTCAGTTGCAAGCAGGTAGTCCTTCCTTCCTTCGCCCATGGCCTTGCCTTGCCCTGCCTGAGCTTGGCATGTTAGGGCATGGCATGGCGAGAGGCATGCTTTTGTCATTGAGCTTTTGCAGTTACAAAGTTGGAAATCGGGCCTGCCAGCTCGGAAGTTTCCCAAAAGTGCTGGCTGCACGAGAAATATATAAAAAGGCTCCATAGCCTCAAGCAAGTGAAATTCTAGAGTGCTCGAGACAAAGAAAGCAAGACCGTAGGCTGTTGCACCGATTATAATATACGCGACTCCTCCTCGTCTCTTGTCACCATCTCCTTCGTCAACTTGGACCTCAATCCCTCCATCAAAGCGGCACCGCTAGCTCGTCGCCATAGCTCTCTCAACCATCCAGCCAACCACACAGCCGCAACTTGTGCCCATCCATACGAGACTCCGTCCGCCTCGTCCTGCCGGACGACGAACAAGGCGGCACGCAGCGCAAAACAAAGACGTAAACGTCCGGCCGAGGACAACGGCAACCGCAAATGACGAGGAGGAGGAGGAGGAGGCTCCCGTCCTCGCGGGACGGACGACGATCAACTTACGGGCTACGGCGGAGGAGCGAGCGCAGACAGGACAAAAGACGGGCCTTTCCAGCCATGGGATTGACTCGACGGCAGGGAGAACTGATGGAGCGAGGACGCGGGGCCCACCGCGCCTTCATGGGCCCGCCCGCACTGCCGATTTCCTCCCGCTATCTGTTAGGGGAAAGCTCTGCCGGGCCGTGAGGGTGGCCAATGGCGCCCATCCGTATCGCGAGTGGGCGACCTCTCGCTCCGCCCCGTCAGCCTGTCGCGTTGCCACGTGAGCAGGATCGGCGGATCTGCCAATCGGCCCCGGCGCACGTGTAGGCCTGCGATTGCAGGGAATGATCGGAATTAATGCCGTTCTCGGCGATCATCACGTCGAAGCCTGTGAGCTTTTTTGTCGAGGAATAATTGCATTTCTTCGCGTTCCGAAACGGGGCCGAAATTCCATAACAGTTACAGAAATTCGAGCGATGGCGGGATTTGGTGTTGGGAGGGAGGGAGCTGAAAGCGCGGGGCCTGAGAAAGAGAGAGAGAGAGAGAGAGGCGATTAGTTCGGGGCAGTTGGAAGGGAAGGGGAGATATGTGGGATTTGGGGATGCGGGCATTTGAATTTACATCACGGGGCCGGGCTGTGGATAATACGGAGGAAGGTTGTAAGATTCGTTCTGTCCTAAGATCGAGTGAAAGTGGGAGAGGTATTCATAGGGCGGTGGACCTCAGTGTTCCCGCAACTCGCGGTTCCGTGGAGCACTTCCGCTGGCCCACGCTGCTCTGCTCTGCTCCATGGTGAGTGAGTGAGTATGAGAGGGAGAGAGAGAGAGACACATACAGTGCGAGCAGGACCAAAGGCCAGGCCAGTGAGTGAGTGAGTGAGTGAGTGAGAGTGAGAGTGAGTGAGGGAGTGAGTGTGGAGTTGGAGCAGTTGTTGTAGATGGTAGTGTTGGGCAGCCCCGGCGCAACGCTTGCAGCGCAGCTCACTGCTCTGCAGCAGCAGCAGAAGAATGAAGGAATGCCGCAGCAGCAGCAGCTGAGGGGAACTCCGGACCCGAATTCCTTCGTAGTGGTGGAGTGCAGGGTAGTGTAGTGTAGTGTAGTCTAGCTGCAGTGTGCGACGGTGCGTCACCGAAGGTGTTCATCTTTCGTCTGGGTGGCTTTGCTTGCTTTCTTGCTTGCCTGCGTCACGTCACGAGCTGCAATCGATTTGGTGTTGTGTTGAGCTGAATAAGTGAGCTCTTCAGCTGAACCGAGCTGAGCAGGGCACGGAATGGGAGGACTTCTCGGCAACGCGAAGGTCGCCCGGAGGGGAGCTGGGCCAGGTTCCCCTCAATGCGACATTGCGAATGTTCCCGTCTATCAGTGTCGCGATTATTCTCGTGGATATCCACGCAACGTCGTCAGCCCATTGCCATGTCACATGGGGCCGCCTCCCGGAGGCTATCATGATCCTTACCATTATCCTCCCGCTCTTCCGAGCGCTAATCAGGATTTAGGCTACGGCGAGGAGGCCGAGAATTGGAGTGAAAGCACGCTCATTTACTTCGGCGTGGGGCTCGTCACCATCGCCATTCTAAGCAAGTTTATTCAGGTACGGCCCTCTGAAGTGAGCTGAGTTGAGCTGAGCTGGTGTAGGTGTGGATGAGGCCTCAGTCCGTAGCTGTCCGAAGACGACTTACCCATTCTCTAGCGCCGGGATCCAGTTTCGATTCAGAGCCCGAATGTGCCGTCCTGTTTTCGATTCTCGGTGTCATGACTCGTCCCCTGTGTCGTCTAATCCTCCAGTTCCACGTGAATGCGGAAGTCATAGGAGTCCTGACGTAGCCCTGGCGGGAGAGGGCAGTCCTGCCCTCTCCCGCCGCTTCCGAGCCATTCTCTGATCTCTGAAACTGCTGAATGGGGACTTCGGGGTTTACTGCCCCGTGTAATGCCGAGACTACCGCTTAGATTTACTGACATGGGAGCCTTGTGAACACAGGATCTGCTCAGGTCTCCGCAGCCACGACCACCTCGAGCAACATCACCGAAGAAATCAACAATATTTTCATCACCGGATGAGCGGGTAGGAGCAGTGGGCGAAAAGGAACCGATTCTGTCTATGAAGGATGTAAGACTGCTATTTTCGCATGAGCATGAGCATGAAGCTTACGAGATCAGAGTAATAACAATATGGATCGGAATCATAAGAGGACTGAGAATGCATGACCTCGTCAGTGAATGACTCTTCTTAGCCTAGAGGACGGGAGATCTTTGGTAACCGTGGGCGTGGTGTGTCCGTGGTGTGTGTGTTTGTTTGTGGTATGCGTGTGCAGCTGTTTTATGGCGAACCTGAGACGGTGGTGATACTGAAAACAGACGACCGGAAGGTCATCGATAACATCCATCAGTATAAGTATTTCGGCCTGCCTCCGGAAGACAGTAAGGCCGCCAAACCTGCCGAGCCTGCCGCTGAATCCAAGGTAAATGAGCTAGCTCAGAGGCAGTCGGAGTCGGAGTCGAGGTCGCAGTCGAAGTTGCGTTGTTGCAGCAAAGTCCGTCTGGTCTATATCTATTTCTTCGTTGCTGGATGGTATTGCTTCGTGATTGGGATTTATCTACTGTGTCGATGCGCCGGCTGGGACCCATTGCTCGCGCCCCCGTGCTCGAGCGAATCCGTGGCAGCAGAGCCTTCGGAACAGAATACTGAACTCGGATGGTAATAGGGAAAAAAAAAGCAGAAGGAAGAGAAGAAAGACGAGAAGAAGGAGGAGCCGAAGAAGGAGGAACCGCCAAAGGAAGAGAAGAAGGAGGAGCCGGCCAAGCCGGCCGAGGAAGCTAAGCCAGCCGAGGAAGCTAAGCCGGCCGAGGAGGCCAAGCCCGCCGAGGAGAAGAAGGAGGAGCCTCCCAAAGAAGAGAAGAAGGAAGAAGCGCCGCCTGCCGAGGCCCCTAAGGAAGAGAAGAAGGAGGATCCGCCCCCACCGCCCCGAGAAGTTATCTTGAGAGTCCCAATGTGCTGCACCGAATGTGAGTTGACTGCGGCCGAGGCCCTCCGAGACATGAAAGGTAATTTCTTCTCCCATTCCCTTACCGATTCCCAACATCTGCTGCTGTCGTCCTGTCGTCCGCTTAATCAACTGTCTGAATTCGCATTCATGACCTCCGCTACCCTCGAGAGACGCTGAATCTCCCATGGGTTTTGCTCGAGAACCCCAGCACGCGTCGAGGGATGATATCAGGCCCCTCCTCTCGCTGATGGTGTCCCCTTACTGATGCTCGGTTCTCTCAATGCGTCGGAGAATCTGTTTGCAGCCAGAGAACGAGTCAAATCAGCCATTAAACTCTCCCTCTCCCCTCGAGAAGTCTGTCCCCGCCCCGCAGCCTCTCGCTGTCTTCACCGAACGAGTTCCAAGGCTGCAGGGCTGGCTGTCTGAGATTTACTCTCGGACGTCCGGTTTCCTGGCCGAGGATTCGTTTCTCCAGCCGCACGGATCTCAGACAGTGTCTGTGCCTGTGCCTGCAATGTCGATGATTGATGATTCTGCTGCGGTGCTTTTACTGACGTGATTTTAAGTTAGAAACGGGGGAAGAATGCGTCCCTGCCATTCCCCTTGCTACACGCCACTCCTTGTAGATATCGGAGTGCTGTATTTGCCAAAGCAGGTACGATTAATCAGACTGACTACCAATGCACGGTCAGTCAGTCTGTCACTCGATAGAAATATCCGAGCAAAGTAGCGGGAAAACATCCGACGCCTCGTGTGTGTTCGGAAACTAGGGTACATCCTAAATGCATATTCTCGACGCTTGGTTTAGCTGAACTTCATTTCCGACTTCACCAACTTCTCTCATCTTGTTCCTAAGTTTGGCCGGTGTACATCGAGGAACAAATTCGCAAGGATAGTCTGTGGAGCAAGCGTCTCGGACCTGACTTCAAGGACCTTCCTTCGACTCGCATCTCCTTCTGCATGGGCGAATGTTCTAACATTTGGCTCGACGGTAACGCGGGTAATATATTAGTTCACATGTGAGCCTTTTTGCTCCATGTACATTTCAAGTCAATGGCTTCCTGCAGGATGCTTCAGCGGGGTTAAAATTTTGATGAACTCTCGTTGAGGTCTTTGTCGCACTTCTAGTGGTCTGGCCGAATCAGACGTGAGAATACTGCCTCGCCTCGGAAAGGAGGTCACTGACAGATCGATGTGTCGAAGATGCACTTTCCGGAGCCTTCCCAACACCAATTTATTCTCACGCTCGCGTTGCGACCACCGAAAATTCCCGCTGCTCTCTTGCACCCAGGCCTCCCTAGTTTACTGCTCAGCACGTCGTGCCTTCGGCATTGGACGCCTGCTCTGGGACCTGACCTCGATGCAGATTGCGGATTAGCTCGCGTTAGCTCAAGCCTGACAATTGTACGTACGTTTTCGGCGGACGTCCCTAATTCTGATCCCTCGCTGCGTACGAGTCTTCGACGAGGTGTCGTTTTCGCCTTCCACGGCGCCGTAGGAACGGGCAGCTCGGCGTCGATTATGTGCGTAAGCTTGTATCCGGCTCGATAAACCGGATCCTGACTGAATTTGGTCGGAACCTGGAGATTAGATTGGGAGGCGTCCTTTTCCTGACGTTACGAGCGAAGTTCCTTCCGTGCAACCGCTTCTCCTTTCATGGGAGTGGCTGCACGACCTCGTCATTTAGTGAGGGAGAGCAGCATGTGCATGGTCGAGCTGCTTGCTAGTACGAGTGATGACCCCGTCTGCAGTCCTCGGCTCTTGTGGCTCGGGCACGAGATTTATTAAATAGAGGTGATGAAGGCTATACATCATCGTACTAGCCATAATCGGCGATTAGGCCCTGGAAATTATGGACTTGCCAGTCCCTCAGTGTCTGAGTCCCTGAGGAGAGAACTCCCGGCTGACACTACGTACGCTCCTTGAAATCAAGGTGGTGTGTCCCACCTCGACGAGTACTTCCTCAGTACCCTTCGAGGGCAGTATGTCGTAGTAGTAGGTTCTTCTCATTCAGCTCATGGTCCTTTCCGGGCTGGATGGACGAGTGCATCTGCACTCACTGATGTGCTTGGACTTGTTTTCTGTCGTGGTGAGTTGAAGAAACGCGAGCCGTGTTAGAGTAGAGTTCTCGTTGCTGAGTGCCACGAGATTCATCATACGTCGGAGGTGTTTATCACAGTACATGCAGCTGTGCCGCCGACACTTCCGAACATTCGTCACCTTCCGCGGATAGGTCCGTGAGTGGTCTGTTTTGAAGTTTTGGGACGCGTGGGGATTGCTGATTCCGGCGATAACTGCATTGTCCCGTAAGACTGGCACGAGATGGATGGGTGACCTGTGTGGGGCCTTTCTTCGTGCTGCAGGCTAGTCAGTGCACGGAAACAATATCGGTTTCCTAGAATGGGAAACCGATCGAGTTCTGGATTTGAAGTCAAGCGGAGGATGCATCAATTTCTTTGGGTCTAGGTTTATACGGTTTAACATGCGAGCTTTTATCAAGCTCGAAGGTCCTTCATCAAAGTGACAACCCAAATTCTATACTCGTAACCGAGTAACGTGATGTATTTGTGCAATCGCCCGTCTGGAGAAACTGTGCGATCAGGTGACGAAGATTTGCCATCCCCGTCGTTCATTACTTTGATGGAAGATGGGATCGGCGCCTAAATGTTATACAGCGCAGTACAAATCAACACGTTGTCCATGATACACCTCCGGGTTTCTGTGGGTGACCGATGTGAGGTCCAGGGTTTTACTCCACAATCCACTTGCTCGTAGTTCACAGCGGCGTAGCATTCCCCGAAATTTGGATGGCACTTGACGACGGATCCCTGGGCAGCTTGACTTCTGGTGTCTGACATGTCCTGCTTCCGGTCGTCCATAACCTTTATATATATTTTGACTGCGTGAGCGGGGAGTTTATTTTCACTCGAAATACGGAGTAGATTCCCAGTTTTGTTCGTCTGTGCGATTATACTCACCACCGTGCTGGAATCCACTCTGACTTGAGATTGCCGTCTGGTTGCAGGAGTGGAGGAAGTGGAGTGCGATTACCATGATGAGAAAGTCACCGTTAAAGTCACAGGAGATATTCAACCATCTGATCTGCTACTGAAATGCAGATCTCTTAAATTGTTCAGGAAGTCCAGTTACTGGGACTCTAAAGTTTAAATTGTTAACAGGAAATTTTGCTTCACACTTAACTTTAACAGGATTTAATACGGTAAACCGAGGTAGAAACCCTACAGTAGGTGGTGATGTTAGGACATCGGAAATATCTCCAAAATCGATGTCACTCTTCCGAGCGATAAATTCATAGACTTGTACACTTTAGAGAAGACGGAACACTGATGTAATGCATCAAGTAGCTGTTTTTGCTTCGATAGAACCAAATATACCCATTGATATGTAAGCTTTGAAATGCCGTCGATGTATAGTACTGTAGTTAGACCGGATGGCCTTTTTAATATGCAGGCCCCCTTAATTTGCAGTAGACGTAATGAATGTGCAGTATGTACTTCAGATGTTTTGATTTCACCAATAATATAGTCCCTTGACACCATATTTCATCAAATGCTAGCACATCCTGGTCCGGGATTTCTTTCATGGTCCCGATGAAGCCTCGGATGTCAGGCAAGAGGAGGATGAGCTGGCCTCCTCGGCAGTGGATTGCAGAATTGAAGGCTTTGTTGTCTAAGCCCGTTCGAGTTTTCTCTTCTGTGATTCACGGAGTACACACCAATTCTTGGGACATCTCGGAGCTTAGAAGCCGGTGGAACTTCTACGAACTCCATACCCTGTTGCTATAGAAATATTGTCACGTAGAGCTACATTGACAGGTGTTGACGTTCACTGACAACGTGACTGTTCTGTCATACATTGTAGATGTGCTGATGTGTAATGCTTTGAATGTAATGTCTTTGAATCAAACGAAATATTTTTCACAATATTGTTTTATAATTTTAGCTGCGTTATGTGCAATCTGAAAATTGTCTAGTAACCATATCTATGACATGGACGAAGTTTAGAGTAAGATACCGAAATACTGCTTTCATATATTTTAGCACTTCTTGACTGTAACCTCAAGCAAACTTCTGACAAAGTTGCCAAGCAGCAAAATGTCTAAATGAATATCAGTGAGAATAAGTGACAATGCTATTTGACTAATTTTCTGTGGTATTGGTGAACTGGAAAAATTGTCGCAATGTTGAATTATTACAACTGATCTCAGATCGTACTATTGCGGCTGGAGTCGCGAAGAACGGAAGGGAGCGATTGACTATGATTGTAGAGAACCGTGTAAATCGTTAGGCAGTCCTCTATGGTCAAATCACTGCCAAAGATATCAAAACTCTCAACATGCATAAATCCTCCGGATCCTCACCAGGAAGAAACAGTTGTCATACATGCGCTTCATTTGAGGAAAAAGTGAAGAGAGAATTTAAGATAAATGCCGAGAAAAAAGAAAGGAGAAAAAATGTATATATTACGATTGAAATGCCTTTCAGGTTCAATCCCCAACATATATCCACCTTACGACTTTCGGCCCATCTGCTTCTACAACTCCCTCAGCCGCTTGATAAGTGAGTGTTATTTGGGATTTCTCACAGGATGAAAACTGCGAGAAGTAATGCCATGTAGGAGATGTGAGGTTCGACTTGGGAAATGAAAGTCCACTGAATGAAACTTGATAAATATCTGTCCACTAGAAGGTCTGTGAAATCATCCACGTCCGCTCCACACACACACACTGGCTGATTGACACCTTGATACTTCTAAAGATTTCAGTTTTGTGAGACTTCGTAAGGTTTAGAATCTTGATCATTGTCTAGACACAATATTTACTCTTCCCTTCATCTACCGTGTCTTGACTAATCGTGTACGGAATCTTTGGGAGAGTTCCTGTAATACTTGGGTGCATACGATCTGCTACTTTTAAAGATAATTCAGACAAAGAGATCTTGAAGTATGTTTCTTCGGTATCCTTACTGTCTAAATTCATTTCCGTCTTTGCAGTGCATAAAATCGCAAATTGACTTTTGCCTGCTTGGCATTCACTATAAAACCAGTGTTTGCGATGATCATCCCGATCGACCTCAAGACAATTTTAGTTCGATTAGGAGATAATTGACAGATCTGAATGACGTAGAAATATGTCCCACGTGAAATTGGAAGAATCTCTCCAGGAATCAAGAGCGAGATCCTAGAAAAGCTGTGGTCCAGCTGGCTTTTTCCCGCTAAGCACACACTGAGCCCAAATTACTGCATCCAGCGGCTTATAAAACATCTCTGTGAGAGTCTGAAACTTGATTACCCTCTCAATGCTTTCAGTCATCTTTAGGGCTTTCCTTTCTCTCCTTATTAGGTCGTCGCCTGCTTGGAACAGAAGAAGTAATGAACATGTGAATACGGCCCAATCCATGAGTTGCAGTATGGGCATCATAATACGATACCGCAGATTTGATTTAAATCTATGACATTTTCTGCTATCTTGTGTTTTCGATCTTCAAACAAGTTCTTCGCTCAGATACCACTTCGCAGATTTCGCTTCTGTTTTACACTGATACTATTTGGCAGGAAACTATTCTGCATTTAAGTCGCCGATCGGATGTCTGCGCATTTCATGGGAATCCGCAAATTGAGATATGGAACTCAGGATATTGAGTTGGTTCAGTACGCCCTGCTCTACATGAGAACAAACCGATCCTTGAGAAGTAGAAATTACAGCCAGCTACAGGGGCGATATGATCCTTTCAAGTTCTACAAAAAACACGCGAAGCTCGTTACTGGTAAAATATCATCACCAACTGTACATACCTGCACGGGTTTCTTAGCACTGAGCTTTAAGACTCGATTTCAATTGACATATATACCGAAAGAAAACTCTAATACAGAGTTCATACAGAGTTCGTAGGACCTTGTCAACGAATTTCTGCAAAGGTCCATATGACGACAGAGAGTCTTCCCCTCACAGTCCTACTTCAGCTCGTCTGTAGTTTGAAATATTCCAGACGTATTCGGCTCCTTCACCTCATGAACTTGACCAGTCCTCTCGACTTGCTGAACTTGTGCTTTTCTATGTTCCTGCTAGGCACCTTGTGTTTAATCTTCTCAATTATGGAACTAATGATGAAACGCTTGTCACTAGCATTCCCACTAGTCACAAGGCTCACCAGTTCAGCCATGCTCCACCTGTTTGTACGAAACAGTGGGCAGAGTCTGGCACTAAGAATCGAGCATAGACTGAATCTGAGGCTAAATTCCCAAAATACTCCTTACCCCGCTGTGGAGGATGAATCACCTACTCGCTCCTTGCAGCATAGTGGTAGAGAAAGCATCCGTGGCAAACAGTCAGTCATGCACAGAAGAGACTCGTCGGTTGGAAGCAGACACGTCGCTGCACTGGTTCACGATCTGTCCATCGCACTGCATATATGAATATCAAGGTATCGTTCAGTTTGCTGTGCATGCATGTCACGCGTTGAATACTTGAGGAACAAAACTTGACTTTTCTCGGCTCCAAAAGAAAGTTAGCCACTGGACTTGATTGCTGCTGTCCTGTGGCATGTACACAGGCAGGCAGCCTTGGGCTGTTGGATAAGTCGACAGCAATCAGTGCACTGCCTCACAGTGTACCGTCTGGAGTATTTCTCTCACAGACAAGTGAAGCATCGTTGAACCCCTTCCACAGCGCTGGTCTCAGCAGACACATCGTTTTGACAAGTGTGTCCACATTACTTTATCCTTCTGTTCAGATACTCGTCATCCCTGAAGTACTGGCCACGGTCCAGCACGATCGATTCTTGGATGAGCCTGTGCAGTGAGTCAGTTGTCCGCTGCTGGCTATCAGAGCAGGTTCCAAGATGTCAAAATACCTGAATCACAACATGAAATGGATGCTGAACAGATCACAGTGCACGCTACCTCGACATGGGAAAGCATGGGAAAGCTAACTATCCTCTAACCATTTATTTAGAGGATTGCCTACTCCAGACAGTAAGCATCTTGGCAGATAATAACCACAAGTCGCCTCACTCTCATCCAGATTGCAGCAATCGGGCATCAATGACTACATCATCTGATGCAACAATCTCTTTTTGACTTCACAGTCGTGACCAGAGAAGACCTCGAATGTCGTTTTGGGATGAGATTCGGATAGCAAGCCTGGCCATCGATCACAGTTTCGCCTAGTGTAGGTTGGATGAGTAGGATGCTAAGAAGCAGTGTCCACATCCTTATTGGAAAGCAAACCTAATGTTAAAATATTCCGTTTGGAGCATCGTCTTCGTATACATAATGGAACACTGAACCCACTCCCACCGATCTCTATAATTCTCATCGGTTTCCCATCATAGTTCGTGTCCTTGAGCCACTGTTGTTAAGAAAAGGCCTCACATGGATGAGGACATGCAATGCAGCTTCAATCATCCTTGTTTCAAGAGGGAGAGGATGCAACTGGTGCCTTATTGACATACTTGGCGGACTGGGAGTACACAGCTCTTGTAGATCGTTATCTGCAACTAAATAAAGGGTTTAAGTCATAAGGAGATAAAAGGGGACCGGAATTGATGTAGATGGAGTGAAATTGATGTCTACATACACAGATGTATCGAGATTCTATCTTAGACGAAGAGATTTTCAGAGGGATTACGAGGTACGGTGAATCACTGAAATATACTTCCAGGTGGAAGAGAGCAGCCAGTGAATCTTGATATCTAAAGAACCAACGTTTCTTAGGGGGATTAACTGGTTAGAGAGATGGAGAAGGAGAAGGAAAGTCGAAGCATATGTCTAACACTTTGCTCATGAAGAGAATCGTTGAAAGCAAAACAAAAGCCTCAATTGGAGGTTCCAAGTTCACACTCATGGTTGAAACATAATGTTGTTGCGAATTGAATTCTGGTTGGGTTGTGGAAGGCCACATTCCATATCCCCTGCATAAAAGGACGGAGGACCTCAGCGCGCTTTTTCTTCTCTATCTTTCTTTTCTCTCTCTCTAGCTAGGTTCCCTGCATGGTGAGCAAAATCAAAGAAAGGAAAAAATATTCACGACGGAGAAGATATGGCAAGGGGTCCATTATCAATAAAGCGGAAACCTTTTGGCAAACAACTCTCTATTGAAATGTGTACACCAGATATCAATCTTAAACCCAGAACAGGAAACCACTCGATCGCAATCATGCCTTGAGACATCCCTTTCTTCTTCCCCTCGGTTCTCATAATCATTCCACCTTTGGCAGAAAAGGGGTGATTGGGTTCTGATGGGTGAACCTTCCCCCATCGATGTCGCCTACATTTGACTCTGTAGAAACTCTCAGGCTGACCTTGACATGCAATGTGCGTCCAATTGGTACCCTATTGTCGCAAACGCACGAATACTGACACGACAGCTGGCCAACTTCGCTTGCTTAATAAAGCCATCCAGATAGCCAAGAGATCTGGAGCACAGCTTGCAACACAGTAAGAAGACCTGGAATTTCATCTATTCTTTTATTTTGATTGTAGATTGGTTGCCACTTATTGCCCTTGCAGAGGTCAGCATCGCCCAAAGGCTTGCATTGGAGTCAGCCCGTGGTGGATTCAGTCAGTCTGGTGCTCTCAGGTAGGTCATCGTCAATTCCTTCCTTAGCCCCTCAACACCTCTACTTATGTCGATCCACCTTCCGATCTAAAATTCATTGCTTGTCTATTTGGATCACCTTCTGAATATCCTCATAAAATGTGGAAATTGAAGTCAAGAGATGCTGAACCTAAATATCCGACATCGATTTGTTGTTCATCTGAGAGTGGTATTACATTAAAAATAAAACCTCAAGGCTTATTTTCAAGGTCCATGGACGCACATTGTATGGCCAAGTAGTTAGAGCTACTTAAAAAAAAGCTGGCGAGGGAAAGTAGCCATGGACGAGAGTAGAGAAAAACTAGCTCTTTATCATTTATAAAAAAGGGCGAGGATATATATTACTCCAAGGTCTAGCTTATAATCATGACGGGCTGACCAGTTAATTGCTCGCTAGAAATGTTCACGTGCCCCCTTATTCCCCTCTCCTTGACAATTGCTCCCTTAGCTAACTACAAGTCGATGACAAAGTCTTTACTGTTTGGCTAAAATAATTGTATTGGAACGTACCCTGGTTGTTTTGAGATATTTTAGCGAGGCTTCAATTTAGATCGTACACTTACTGCTGCATTGTTTGTTAAAAGGAAGCGTGAATCCTAACAAGAGAAATTGTTAAGATCCATGCTTTTAGAAAAGATTTTCTTCCATGATTGCCCTAGTATAGTCTAAACTAAGTCTTACCAACCTGCAACTTTAACACAATCAATGCATAACCTACCTATCCATCAAAATTTGGTCTTGTCTAAAATTATTTTGCAGTAGAGCATATATCATCTATTAAAAAAAGTCAATATAAACTTGGAAGTGATTGATTGCTGCCGACTTAAATGGAGGTGAAATGATGTGAGAGAATTTAAAGGTATGTTTTTTTTGCAAAATATCACGAACGCTTATATATACTGTGTATGTTTGTTTATACACGCACCAAAATCAAAGAAACAGGTAGATGAATCTGCATGATATTCCGTAAATATACATGTTAAAAATGTCAGAATTTTTTTGATACACGCAAGAGCTGTAAATGTCATCAAAGACACTAAAATGAACTAATATAAGTATAACACGAATCAAGTGTGTAATCTATCCTGAAAAGGACAGAAGAAACGAGTTCATGAGGATTGATTGTATTCCTTTCGTCTCCCGAGACGATGACGCTAGCAACGAACCTCTAGAAAACTTATGGTTGATATTCATTGAAGACCTCGTAAGGAGGCAAATTTTCGGCACCAATTCTCTCCCCGAAGCTGATGGAGTGACGGAGAGAGCAGTGTTGGTCTTTGCAAGAGGAATGCCTCTTGTTCCACAAGTGGACCCCTCCTCCTCCTCGTCTCGTCTCGCACAGAGGGTCGGAATTTGAGATTCACATGCAGTCGACTTGTTTGGCCAGTGTGTACTCCGGTGGAAGCATGGAAGCTCCACTGGAGACGCCAATTTGCAACTGCGTTGTCCCTCATGTCGCAGCAGGCAGGCTGGCAGGCAGGCAAGCAGGCTTGGCACGAGCCGCATGGCAAACGTCTTAAGTGACCCATGCAGCTCACAGACTTGGTTGGGCATTCGACTGGGCTCTCCCGAGTCTCGATGGACCGACTCGACCGGTCGGGGGCTCAAGTAAATGTTCTCTTCATGCAAGGAAGGTACGAACTATCGTTATGCATAAACGTGTGGGGACTCGCCGTGGACGCCCAGCGCATTAATGCACAAGGCCAGTGAAGGTTGGTGCTGCTGCCCTCCCTCCCTCCCTCGTCCATCGATCGAGTTTCCCATCGCTGGGCACTGAGCTCGGAGTGCTGTTCAAGTCACAACGCGAAGATTGAGCTCCACATGCAGCGAGCAGATGTTTCACGTACTGTCATCTCCTTGGCACCATCTTTCCGTTGAGGTCGATAATAAAATTGCCCAGAAATTACACACTCCACATGCAACTACCGACCTTTCACGTACTTTCGTTCCTGACACCCCTTCCTTCCTTTTGCTGATGCACATATGCTGCAAGAGAAGTGAAACCCACTCATTAAAACTGCTGCATCACCGTAGCTGGAAGGGAGGTATCCAAATGATTTCAAGTACTTTAATTTATGGCGATCCATGGTGGAATCCTTATTCTTCTGAACGTTTCTCGTCGAACCTCGTGTATTGATAGAGTCTTGCAAGAATCACGCACCCAAAAAGTAAATTGCTTCTCCTTTAATTCATTTACAAAAGTCAGCGTAAAATATATTTTTCTGCCCCAAATTTCAACAGTTTGAGTGGCGTATACTTCAATCCAGCTGTGTCTACTATGTGATACATCCTGACAAATCTTTCGATGTCATTAAACCAAATCGTTTTCTTGTTTTTAAAAAACAGTAGTCTTAAACTGATATCTCGTCAAGAGTGAAATCTAGTTGTTATACAGTTTTCGTTTCCTACTAGATCTTACTTTCCATGTGATTAGAACCCTTTTTCTTGTCTCATGGTACTGATCCTTGGATGCCTTTCCTTATTGTCCTTTCTCCTAACTAGCTTAAGGGGTTAACGTGCAGGTATGTCGATTTTCACTACAGGACGTTATTACAATACAACTCGACACGAATTGAGCCTATGGTCGGAACCGAACTCGTTGAGGGTCGGCATATGTGCTCATTGTTGAGGTTTGTGTATTTTTGCCGAGATTTTTTCCCTCGTACCCCATTTTAACTCACTTAGCTCTACCGTATTCGAGCAGCAAATACTCATCCTTACTTGAAATGGACTTGCTCAGTCTAGCAGGGGTTTAGGAAAAAATTCAAGCAGGCAAGCAAGCAGAAACATCGGACAGTGGGCGGATCAGTGCCTTCCCAATTCCACTGCCCTGCGATTACCGACTCCTTAGCATAGGGCAGCATGCACTGAATTGCAGCTCTCGATCAACTTGCTTGTACCCAAATCGACCAAGTTTTGTGATGCACTGCCACAGCTCGTCTCTCTTCATAAAGAAAGGTATTAGCCATGTTCGGTGACCTCTGGTCCGTCCATGCCTTGAAGCAAGTTAAAGGCGTAAAAAGAAGTAGTTTGTGCACCTCGAGGTATGAGAGAAAGAAATGAGTTTGATATGGGTAGTAAGACTAAACTTATGCTCTCAATCGGGATATCTGATCTTTTCCTGCTATTAAGGAGTGTCTTTCTTTGTTACCAGAGTATTTTATTGCAGAGATGCATGTCCTCCTGTCCAGCTAACTTTGGTTCTGTCGTACCTTCTTCAGTTGCAAATGTTACCCCCTCGTATCCCAGTGCTAGGAATTACATTTGATCAGAATGTCGCCGGTCACTGTTCGTATACTCTGGATGTCACATTTTGTTAGAAAACATGTACAAATAATATCTCATATTATATATAATTTTCGGCCACCATTGGACTTTCACCTACACATGATTGAGTCACTCTCTATTTTATTGACAATGCTCTTCTTGATCAATGACCTTTGCCCATGAAGGAGTGTTTTTCGAAACTTAAGGCAGGAGAGAGCAGGTCGAGTTCTATTGAAGTAAGCCTCTGCTTTCAACTCTGGGGTTGACTGACATGTTCTCTTTGTTATTAAGGGCATCTTCCCTTCCCACGGGCATGCTCTTGTGAAATTAAACTCCAACGATGGATATGCGATTAGAGTTTCTTCACTCTGGCTCTCTCCCTTTCATACGAAGGATGATGCATACAACATATGCACACCCTGCCCCTGCAATATATCCTCCCGTTGGGACTAATGTCCAAAGCCCGGACTCCATAGTTTGTATTTATACGGTCTGACCCACCCAGTCAAACCCAAAAGCCATGAGGCCGTCCGTGTCCAGCAAATTTAGCCCTTTGACGTATCAGGAGAATTCATGGAGTCAAGATGCCTGGTGTGGTCGATTGTTCCTTGAAGCACAGGAGAACCCAAAGTGAGGAGCATTTCGCATAGTGGCATGTACATTATCCTCTGACTGTCGAACATGGATGCCAAATCTGCCTTTCATGCTTTCAAACGCCATCCAAATCCAAATGCGTGATGGTCGAGGTATGGCGTATCGGTCTTGCGTTGCGCCTCGGAACTCGGCGTCATGTACTGCGTATGAGAATACTGCACGTTTTTTACGTGACTCGTATTCCGATCCGAGTGTCCATCGTCGTTTCATGGTTGGGTCTTCACAACAAATTTCGCTGCATCTCGTGATTCGTTAACAACTGACTACCATTAAATTATTTTAATGCAACACTTTCCATGCTCCCTCATTTGAGCGACACTGGCGCTGGCCAAATCTAAAATCTGGAATGAGAAAAAGCGCCGGCCATCTCTTTTCCACTCGTGAGGACTGATCAGATTACACAGACGGATCTACGGAGGCTACTCGAAGCTAGACAGCCCAGAACAGCCCAGCTTATGAAAACTACAGTGAAGTATGGGCCAGCCAGCCCTCGACCTCGAACCGTACTCGAGGCCGTGGATTTCATAAAATAAGATTAATGTGCGCCATGCCATGCCATGCCGAAGGAGCAAAAGTGCACGAAACATCGGTTCGGATGCCTCGGAATTCCTGGTGGCATTCCAGCGCTCTGGACCTGATGCGATATCGACCGATTTGCATGGCGAGAGCCCTCGTACAATGTGCCAAAGCGCTGCCGGTACCACCTAAAAACTCGAAAGACCATCCATGCCGAGAGCTAAGTGCCGACGAGGAGGACGAGGAAGAGGAAGGCGAAGGCGAATCGTCCCGGGGCATGGGCCGGGTTCGCCGGCACCTGGGCAGTGGGGTACACTGAGCAAGCGAGCGAGCCAGCGATCCATCTCTGCGTACATACGGACGAGTGACAGACAGATGGATACACGTCCGGTCGCAGGCACGCAGGGAAAGGGACTGACTCGGATCCCAGTCCAGGAGCGCCGAGAGAGGAAGAATCTCAGACTGAGAAGCGAGCGAGAGATGGAGAGAGCGAGGGCAAGCTGGTGGAGCCACTGTTCGTAGAAAGGTGGCTGGCTGGCTGGCTGGCTGGCTGGTGGTCGCTGGCCTGCGCCTGCGCCTGGGCCTGGCTGGAAGGCGAGCTGTAAGCCATCCACGTCTTATGGAGATCGAAGGAAACGCGAGGCACACCCATCGCATGGCAAAGCCAAGGGATTCCAGCGGAGGGATGGGAAGGGAAGGGAAGGGAAGGGAAGGCTCGGACCGACCGCCCGACCGCCCCCCAGTCCGTCGAGTCCGGCCAGCGAGCCAGCTCCACTCTGGGGGCTGGCTGGCTGGCTGGGCAAGCTTCGGGGAAATGCTGGAGCTTGAGGGCGACGGGGAGCATGAGCATTGCGAGCCTGTCCTTCGAAGAGTGTATGAGCATGGGGTGCGAATCTACGGTCGAGTATCCGGAGCAGGATGGGACAACACGCTCTGGGCAGGGCAGGGCAGGGCAGAGCAGAGGAGCAGCGAGCGCTAAGTGAGTCAGTCAGTCAGTCAGTCAGTCGGTCAGACAGGCAGGAAAGCAGTGAGTGAGGGAGGGAGTGAGTGATTGAGTCTGGTCACCGGTCATCAGGAAGCGGAAGATGTCGCAGAACATGTGACAGCTCTAGAGCGCGTAGCTCGTTGCCATAATGGTGAATAACTTCAACCGTGCGTGACAGTTGTGAAAAAGGCGTGCTCTGCTCTGTTGTGCACAGCTTGATTGAGTTCGAGTGCGACTGATTCTGGATTCTGCCATCGGTTCCCTCGTTCGTTCGTTCCTGTTCCTTCTTTCCAGCTTTGCTTCTGCAGCGACCCTCCGCCCTTCCGCCTGGTCCCCGAGCCTCACTCACAGCCTCGGTGAGCTCATAATGCTCGAGAGTTGCTTGCGCAAGCATCATTGCATCAAGTTGCTCTGAGATTCTGCACATTATTCCGAGTTCCTAGCCCTCCTCTTCCTCGTTCTGGTCGCGTAGAGTTGGATTTGTGAGCCCGGTACAAACCTTGAAGGAAGCAGAATGCTGTGAACTCCGGACGCTGATGTCCACCACATTCGCCATGGATCCTGTACTATCGTCTCCGTCCCTGGCCCATACTCTGATCCTACTCCTTCACCCGGATCCCGGTCACGAGCCTCCCTCGGCATCGCGGCTGTCAAGCTCTCATATTCACTGAAAAGGTGCTTTCTGTCGGCTCTCTTCCTCCGAGACGAGACGAAATGAGATGAGATGAACTGCGCCAGTGCACCTCAGAGTCCTCGCCTCCGCTGGCATTTTGTCGACCTGTCGACCGAAGCCAAGGAAGCCAGGTCTCGCGCAGCCCTGGCAGCCACCAAACTCCCCTCCCTGCGGCACCGGATCCACTCAGACCACTTCCGAAGTACCGAGATCAGAAAGGACATAGCCCCGGGTACGACTCACACCTCGAAGCACATCTCAATCTCGTTACCGCCCACACTTCGATCTCAACCTCTACTCACCCCGAGGAGGTATCTGGGAAGCCCCCAGGTCTAATCAAATATAACAGGTTCCGAAAAACTACCTCCGCGTGGGCGGTATCGCACATTACCACGGATAGATCGGTCCCGCACAGTGCCATAGCTTTTCCGGTGAAAATCACGACTCTCATTTACCCTTTTGGTCTGGCGAATTTTGATAACCCTGATTGATTTACCAGCTGCTGCTGCATGACAAAACATCGGCAGAAGTTCGGTTCATTCGTTCGGGGGCTTGTACTTTGGCTCCGGATTCATGATCCGACATTGGCACCAGTCATAGACGGGATCCGTTGCGAAAGTTTCAGATTCATGCACTGTCTGACATTTTGCGAGGAATCCAGTTCACTTTTCAGTGCCTCTACGGAAATCGACTGCGCAGTGAGTTCGAGTGAGTGAGTGTATTCGCACGCGAGACCTGCACCGGGTACGACAAATACGCGTACGCTGGGGAGGTAGGGGGGAGCGATGGAAGAGGACACCAGATTCCTCGGCAGCGGATACGACATGGTGGCATGTCATGTTCGACACTGGCGGGCCTGCGACACTCAGCGAGCCAGGTATTGGGAGACAAGGGAGTTGGAAGATACACAGACATGGGAAATTTGTCCCGGGAACGTCAAAAGATCTCATGACAGGCGAGGACATTCGTTCATTCGCTCGGAAAAGTCGCTAGCTCGTCGCGCTCGCGCTCTGGGGCCGGGGTGAGAGATACCGCTCGTCTCGCATGCAGATATGCAGGCGAGCAAGGGCAAGAGAATCTCGAAGGAGGAAGACAATTCGTACACGAGAGCGAGCTGGTAAGCAGAGTGACTGACTTTCGGGCGCTCAGACAGAGGCAGGCAGGCACACACAACCACACTCTCACACACAGAGCTCACAGAGCAGCAGAAGCAGCAAAAGGGTGGGCAGGCAGGAATGCTCAGCCAGGACACGATCATGAGATAGTATCAATGTCTTTCTCGGCTTTTTACTCGATCACAGTTTACAAATACAGATCCTATAAGTAAGTGAAGATCAGCGGCTGCTCCTCAAGTCTAGAAGATAAGAAAAACAGTTGTCACGCTTTTCAATCATCGTCTATTCGTCGTCGTCGTCGTCGTCGTTGTCGTGACCGAAACCCGATCCAGCAACCTCCTCGCGACCCACAGCTCGCCCTATTGCAAAATGTCACACCAAACTTTCCATCGCTGAGAGGCCGGGCATGGCGAAGGCCGGACACCTGACCTGATGGGCCTCAGGCGGCCCTGGTCTGAATCGGTACATTGATCCCAGCAAGCCATTCGATGCCCGTGAGGAAGCAGGGGCGGGAGCAGGCTCCGGCCAGCATGCAATTTATCGAGAGAAACCTAAACTACAGATAATGGTTTCGGATGAAGAAGAAGAATAAAGAAGAAGGCCAACACCAGCACCACCTTCGTAGAAACCACTCCGGGCGAGTAAGGAAACCTTGTAAGACACGAGCCGGATCCACAGCCCTTTCGCTCGGACCCGGCATCCTCTACGACCTAACATTGTTACACTATAATTACAATCGAGCAGGCAGGCGGGAAATGCCGTCTTGTTATGATAAAGCGTTCATCGTCGCCGTGCCACCTTGCGCCCGAGCGCAGACGACTCCCAGGATCTGCGCTCGAGCAGCAATCTGGCTTCCACCGTGAACCCAGCTAGCTATAAGAAGTAGTAGGAAGTATGCATCCCGCACGACCACACCCAACGACGCCTCCAGAAATTTCCCCACCATCGATCGATCCGGAGACGCCCAAAAACCCACACCTCCAGGCTGTTGTTCTCCCATCCCGCCCCATCCCGCCCTCCTCCACCCCCTGCCCAAAACCCCGTCCGCCGTCGTCATCGTCGTCATCTTCATCGTTCGCTCATCCGCTCGTTCATTCATTGTTTCGTGGCATCGTTGCATCGTCGCATCGTTCGATCGCTCGCGCGTAAAAGGCAGTGTACAGGGAGTCAGGGCAGTGGAGCAGAGTAAAAAAAACGGCGGCCGGGAGGAGAGCGAGCGAGAGCGAGAGAGAGAGCCAGGCACGCGGCGCGCGGCAAAACTCCGGTGCCTCGCTCTATCTCTCACTGCTCGGAAAATTCTCGCGGCGAGGGGCAGGGTCACAATCCACCGTAGCTGCACCTGACCACCATCCGCTGCTGCTTCTCGACTTTGGCCTGCGTCGAGCCCCCGTCCAACCCGCACCCGAACTGCAGCGCCCTCTCGACCTGGTAATTGCTGCCCCCTAGCGCCACCTCGCGCTCCAGATGGCTGCAATAGCTCTCGAACACGCTCACCGTCACCTGTAAGCGAAAATCCAGCCGGAAGAGGAAGTCCAATTCCAACCTGTTCATCTCCAGCGTCGTCACCCCGCCCACCTTCGCGTAGTACGCATTGTTGTAGTATCTGAAAGCACCATAACCCACGAGAGAACTGTCAGTGCGCCGCTCGATCATTCCTCCATCGCCAAGATCTCTGCCCTGCGCTCCCCGAATCACTTCCACAGACAGACAGAGAGACAGACAGAGAGCGATGGACATCGAAAGAATCCAGAGCTCGGAAGGAAAGACAGAGGGAGAGAAGCAGAGAGACTCACGCATCGTCGAGGAACTTGGCGGCGACCATGACGCTGGTGATGAGGAGGCGGTGGACATTGAGCGAGGTGATGGGGATGCCGGGCTGCTGGTGGATGAAGCGGTCGATGTAGGCGTAGGCGACGACGAAGCACGAGGGGCTGCAGTTGGCGTATTTGAAGATCCGCTCGAGGTACTTCTCGATGCTGATGGTGGGCGCACGGAGGCCGTGGAAGACTGTCAATTTCGGAGGGCTGAGGCTGCGGTTCAGCACCAGCGCCTGGCGCTCGTTTCGGGCCACCACGCGGTCGAGCAATGACGAGAGCACGGCCAGCACTCGCGGCCGCTCGCACATTCCCGAGTCCGCCCCGTTCAGCTCCAGCGCCATGTACAAGTCCGAGCACAGGCTCCCGGGCACCCCATCTCGCACCGCCGCCGCCGTCGCCATCGTCGTCGTCGTCGTGGTAGTCGTCGACGCCATCGCGGCAGCGCTCTCTTCTCGAGATCCCGAGCGCGAGCGCGACGAGCGCGCGCAAGAACGCGAAGGACCGCGCGGCCGAACGATCCTCTCGGGCTGATGCCAAAGCTGCGGCTGCGACATCAAACTGTGACGGCCATGAATGCTCGACCTCTGCCTCGTCCGGAGGTGCGTGCAAATGGCCTTCTGCTGCTACTATCGGAAGAGTCGGCAAGTCATCAACCTGCAGCGTTTCTGCAGCTCGCTCTTGCTACACGAGCTTCGGCCTCTCCTCCCAATGCGGCACTCACCGAGGTAGGAAAATCTCGCCTGAAGGGAGCTATGTAACATAAGTGATGGTTTTCTGCGGAGAATGCCCCGAATGGAGGTGGTGCATACACCAATCCACGAACGAGGTCCTCGGCCTCGAGAGAGGAGGAGAAAAAAAGGGAGTGAGATTTTTAAGCCGCTCGGAATTTGTAGAGGATAATGTAATCACACTTGGAACACAGAGCGCATACCAGAAGAATGAATTTACACTGGAGGGATGAATGCACGCACGCCAGAGTGCCAAGAAACTCTCGCGAGCAGGGGGGGAGGGGGGGAAATATTGGACTGGAGGGGAGGGAGGGAGGGAGGGAGGGAGGGGTGATCTGCAGCAAGCGAGCCGACCAGCCTTCGGTCGCAGAGAGAGAAGAGCACAAGTGGGGGGATACGGACGATCCCTAGAGAGGCAGAAACGGCTGGCAGCCGTGAGTCTCAATCCTCGGAGCTTCGCAGGAGTCCAAGACCAGACAACTCGGCACCACTGTTCTTGCGCCGAGAATCAGACACAAGAATTTCTCAGTGCGCAAGGCGACCGAGGGCGAGAACCCACACGCCTCACATCCACCGCGAGCGAGCGAGAGGAGTCGTCGTCGTCGTCAAGCTGAGGGAGAGGGAAGAAGAAAAGAAAGAAAGGCAGGCGAGCGGAGGGAGAAAGAGAAGAGGAGGAGGAGGAGGAGGAGGAGGAGAGAAGAGCTTTCGGAAGGTCGGGCCCGACACAAGTGGAACCCGGCTCGAATGAGGAGAGGGCCCGATGGAGGGATCGTCAGCACAATTTAGGAGCGACGAGCGCGCAGCAGGCGGTGCCCCACCAGCGTCTGGCACACAATGCAGCCAGCAGCTGAGAGATTATCACGCCCAGACAGAGTGAGAAAGGGCCGGTTCAGTGGAAGAGCTTCAAGCAGCCGATCAGAGCTAATAGTAAATCCCCCTCTCCCCTCCCCCCGGCCCCCGCCCCCGCCCCGTGGGTCCCAGTCTCCTTTATCTCATTGAACTCGCTCACTAGCTCTCACTACTAACTCACTCTCCACAGCACTCCCGTCAGGCCTCGCAGTCAGTAGCCAGTCGCTCACTCGCTCGCGGCGCGATGCACCAAAGTGGTGAGATCTCGTCGCCATTCACTCCCACCGCTCCCAAAGCGCGCGGCTTTATCGGGCCTGGTCCCCCCACCCGCAGCTCCTCCTGCCCCTGCCATGGCTGCCGCTCGCTGCTCACTCCATCCAATGCTGGCCTCGCCTCTGCCCATTTCCCACCCACTGAATCCATCGATCGATCGATCGAAGCTCAAGAACGACACCTTCCGCCTCCCCTCTTTCTCCCCCTCAGCTACCCTTGCCGGCCCCGCTACCCGCTACCCGCTAACCTGTCGCCCCCGTCGCCTATCCCGGTCGGTCATCGTGAATGCGTCGTTCGTCCGACCATCCAGCCCAACCACGACGGCATCCGATAGGATTCTCACGCGCACACTGGACGCAGTCGAGTCGCATCCGGAGCTTAATTTAACTCTTCCGCGGACCCGACCGACCAACTGGGGATCACCGAAGCGCACCAGAGACAAAATGAACTCGCGATCTTAATTGCGACCGCGGCCTCGGCTGCCAACTTGTCGCTCAGCGCAAAGTCAAGGGTGTCCGCGATCTCACCGCTCTTCCGCTTTCGCGCTGCCGCAGTTGCGGTAACGGGACACAGCATCTGGCAGGCAGACTGCGTGGCAGACTGCGATTGCGTCTTTTTGCTCCGGTGATACCGAACCCACCGCGCACTGCGTGTTTGCGACGGAGGTCGCTCGAACCCGGACCTGTCGAGGCAAGGGTACCGACTTCTACTAACTGCTTCCGATCCGGCTCGTTTATTGGCTCGCTAACGCGGATTAACGCTGTGCAAGTGCCGCAAATCCATAAAATCAACACCCGATTAGGAAACGTAATTGATCTTCATTGAATCTAATCTCCGCTCCTCTGGATTCGCAGGCGGGTACGGTGTCGAATCCCGTCCGGCCGATATACTGAAAGTGCGCATGAGCTGTGAGGAGAATCCCGCCAGCCGTCGATCTCGGTCCATCCGACGCTCGGATTCAAACAGGCTCGGGCGTCCTCTGCTTAACTACGTAGCTTCATTAACCGTACCCACGACTTCGACCTCCGAGTCCATAAAATTCGGTGGCTGATCAACTCGGTCGTCTACTCCGCCACCATAAAGACCTGCGTAGCTTCGGTACATGGTACATCATACCCTTGTTTAATAACCGTCATGATCGCCCCCTCCAAAACCTCGAGAGTACAGTATGCCCAATGTGTGCGCGCGGCTCTGGGACGCATCATCATCATCACCATCATCATCATCACCAAGAAGTCCGAAATGGCCGAACCTTGAAGCCTGAGTCGGAACTTGGCTGGACTACGCTCGCATGATCCTGACCGTTCACCACTTCGATGCGCTTCATCTGACGGTTACTAAGAGGGACGTTGTCAAGATTTTGAGTCCAAGTATTCCGCCACTCACTCAAGTGTAGGAATACTTGGACTTATTCCCCACCCCTCTGCTCTGATCAAAAGTTAAAGGTCGACATAATGTCCGAGAGCGGGGAAAGCACACCGGGAATAAATAAAGGTCGAAGTTTCATCGTCTTCGATCTTTTGTCCGCTACCGGAACGAGACCGGTGTCTTCAACGATGTCAAGACCGGCGTCCGGTCAAAGCGGTCACGCCGCAGTTGTCTCCCAGCTCCCACGTCACTCCCAAAGGGAGTTCCCGCGGCAAAATGCGGCGGTTCCGAAGGCGACGCACTTTCTCGAGTTTCACAGCCGCGGTTCGGCTCCAGTCCACAGCCTTGTCGCATACACGTGCGGGGTAAACGGGCGCGGATAACGAAGGACGGACGCATAATTAAGCGTATTATACATTCATGAGCTCATCACGGCTGCCGGAAATGCCCATTACGATCACAAAATCAGGCGAGTACCTCTTATAGCGCAACAGTAAATAGTCGATGCCCCTCGGCGACCACACCGTAGGGGTAGCAGGAGCGGTAGTGGGAACGGGAGCACTTCGGGAGGTCCACGTCACTTGCCACGAGAGTGTAAGAACGCGGTGTGATGAATGAAGAAAGTGTCGACGAGGGGGAGATTAGGAAAGGGTAGAGCTCGACGACGAGCAGACGACTGTACCGTACTGTACCTCGTGTCAACGTGTACGGTTCGATTTAGAGTTTAGTGTAATCGGTCCAGATTATCCATCTGGACCGATTACACTAAACTCTAAATCGATTCCTATATCCATTCATTACTACAGTTTAGAATTATATACATAGCATGAAAGACTTCTATGCAACATTACTAATTTTTTTTATCCATAATTTTGTATCTTGTGGAATGACCTTATCCCGTAAAATGCTCTCCTGAAACCCCGTGCAATGAAGTATATTTGCTTAAGATATGGTGAACGTGAAGGTTTAACCTGCGACGCAGATTTCGGTGCGTTTTCAGTTCCATGACATGGTACTACTGATCCTTTGGTAAACATTGATCGACATCGATTTTTTTAGTTTTCACTCCAGGTAAGCGATTTCCCTCGAAATGGATGCAGTGAGAGAGAACTTGTGAGGGAGTCTAGCCAATTTCGGAGGAACAAGTTCCACGAAATCGCGGGGATTAAACACAAACCAACTTTATAGAAAAGTATCTCATAATCTCTTTGTAATTTGCTTGCACTAGAGTCCACACTGGAATTAATTGATTATAGCGCTGAATCTGGACCAAGTGTTGGTGCAGGATTTGGTTGTTGCACGTAGCGGCCGAGGGATCATCTTGTTATAGAGACTTCAGCCGAAAGTATCTTCTCTTTGTCGAAGGAACAAGAATCAGAATCTATGCTCTTCAATTGTTCTTCGCTTTACGTGACTCTCGCTTGTCAAAACAAGGTTGTGAGTGACGTCGGCAATAGTGTATAAACAATCAAAAATATGCTGGAATGATTAGACATGACAAAGATTGGAAGGGAAAGAGATCACGAGAGTCGCGCATAACAGAGTGGCAAGTATTGAGGTAGTCCTCTATCAGTTTTTGGTGCTACAATAAGTCAACTGTGCCTCGAGAAGTCTATACGCCTCTTCCATAAATGCATGTGAGTACAGATGAATGGTTCTTAGCGTAGATTGTATGGTCGTTGCACTATTTTTCAAGACACAAAACGATTGCTGTTTAATATTTATCAATTGTGAAAGCGTGCTGCAGTGAACCTCGCTGATATTTACGGGACCTGATGAAATACAGTTCTTCTTGTTATTGTGCTGGAAAATCTTCATCCCTACGAGCTTCGGCATGGCTCTTAAAAAAATTGTTTCAGTAGTTCGATGTTTCACAAGTACTGAATAAAATAAAAATAATGTTATGTTATCACGAGAAAAGAATATTACCCTTACTGCTATAATGCTTTGAAGATCTTGATTCAGGATCAAGAAGAAAGATTGTGATGCTCAAGTGATGAGATAAGAAATAGTACACTCTCAATGATCGTTTCTCCCCATTAAGCCGTAAAACTCTCTTTAAGATATGAAACTCGTAGACAAGCTTCAGATCTTGTACCCCTACGTGTTCAGATAAGCTTCCATGCCATAACATGCAGAAGAGAAATACCTAATGAAAGTCGACCATCCTCAGTTGAACTGTCTATCTACTCTACTAGAATGGAAGCCCAAATTTTTTCTCAATCTTGTTGTATGCATTTGCTCCCACTTCACATCACATGCGTGAATCAAATTGTGAAAGTTGTAAGTTAATGAATTTATACAAAAAAAACGAGACAGGACCGACATTGAATTACTTATCGGTGAGGTATTTATTAATAATCCCCTCAAAATTATAAGAACTATTTGAGACATTACCGAGGAAGTGGACTAGGTAAAATAAAATTCTGAGCTTCATTCATTGCGTTCCCATGGACTGGCATATTTGAACATTGTTGCAGATATAAGAGACGGAGGCACTATCCACTTATATCAAAGGTTTCCACTCACATTTAATTATCGTTATACTTGAGCGTATTATATTTATGCTTAATAGCACGTTTGCCTTCTCGTAACTCACCGCAAGGAGTTGTCTGGTCCTCATTGCACTGTCGAGTTACTTTCGATGACACCATTTTCTCTTCTGCTTTTCCTAGGTCAAGAGTAGCATATCCTGGCCAGCGTCACATTGCTGCTCATGTTACTATGTGGCCACTACTATATGAATGAAGTACCTAACAGGCTTGGTTTTGGATCGACTGCATAATTCATTACTACCTTTTCCTCTTTAAACTCTGATTAAAAAAATAAATTTGTGCTTCATTTTATCTCCTAAAGAAGCATGACCACTTATGTAGAATTTTCTATAACTAATCAACACTATAGTTACTAGTGCAACACCGGGTGCACTAGTACTGCAGTGAAAGTAATGTTAAGAGACCTAGGGCTCAAGGATGGAGTTCGAAGTATTGCTCTTGATGCTTGAAAGTTGAGTTTCAGACAGTGAAGTTATGGTAAAGAGTAACTACTGGGGGAATCTGAAGAATATTTGAAGTGAGTTTGGATGAAATGTGATTTATTTCTTTTTATGCTATGGTCATGAGCTACTTTTGCTTCAATTTTGAATTTTAAAAAAATGTCGTGATGTATTACAGTCTGGGTATTATGAAAATTCCAGGATAATATTTTTTGTATATACTTACCGCCCATCTTTATACATGTTGTTCAGGTGAGAAAATGGTGAAGTTAAGGGGTCGAATTTGAGAGACCACGTGTAGAGTCTCCATTGCGAACAAACGTAGAGACTCCGACATGTATCTGGGGAACTTGTGGATCTTTGCAAGGGAAATTAACGGATGCGATGTACGACTCAAGAGGCTCATGGCTTCCTTGATATTCTGTCTGCATACTTTGATGAGAAACACGCATTAGTGTATCATTTGTGGAAACAGGTTTCTAAGGTTCGAGAACCGTTTCAATCTGAGGTCGAAGCAGAGCTCAAGTCAAGCTTGTAATGCAGTGACTGCACATGTCACGGCCTCTCGGTGCATGTATCTAACTAAGCAAGGCACTCTCCATTCCATCACCTACGTCTTCGTCTACCACATCAGCCGAGGGCTGGCATAGAGATACTTTAGTAGGAAAAGGAGGACCTTGAGTTCATGATGAAGGCCCCACTTCCATACATCGGAGGTATGGGCGGCCAATGACAACTTCCCTTTTGATTTCTGCACAAGGGCTTCGCCCGCCTCTTGTAAAGAGGTACGATGACAAGTTCGATGCAATGTCTTACTTCCTGAGCGTGGAGCAAAAATGAAAAAAAGAAAAAGGAGGAGCTTTCCTCTCTCACAGATTCTGATCATGGTCCCAACTCCTCCAGGGCTATCCCCACTGGACATAACTGACATCAATTTAGGCATGTCGCCGAAAGTCTGTCACACAAGGAAACCATGGCTTGACCGAGAACAGAAGAGGACTTGTGCAGCTTACTGGATATTCTTTGATCTTATCCGGGACCATCATATACCCACACAAAGTTTGAGAAGGCAAGCCCAGCCAAAGGAGAGGCATGTTCTGCTGAGATGGGAGGATAAGTCCAGATAGGCTCTTCATTACTGTGCATTGAATCGCTCACTTATCTTCCTGTTCAGCACACCATGACTCCACGAGCACCCCAGGCCAAGTCGCGTCTGCGCTCTGAAGACACTTCTGAAGTTGCAGAGAATGCAGCGGACGGATTCACTCTGGCATGCCCTGTTTCTTTTACCCGCGACATTGTCTTCGTGTTTTCGAGCTACCGACCATGTTCTTCTGCCGAGCTTATGAATGTCCGTCCTGGCTTGTAGTTCATTAAAGGTGCTCACCTGTAGAGAGAAGTGTTGGGTCCGTCATTGCTGTCGTTCATGGTATGGACCACGTGGCACCTCCAGATACAATCGCGGAAAAAAAGGGAAAAGGAAAAAACTACTTTTGAATCCGAAAGAATGCCTCACTCATTGAGTTGTGCAAATGTCGCTTCACAGTACAGTATCAGATCTGGTTGCAAAACCCTCCCATTCGATTAATCGGCTCACATGGAAACAGTTAACAATAAGTGTAGAAAGAGGATGTTGTAATGTCTCCTCGGAAGACAGGAAATTCTTCATGAGTAAAAAGTGGGACTGGATTGTGCTTGAAGGTCAGAAAATCTCTAACTCATCGGGTCAAAGCCTGTAGAAGTTCAGCAGCACTTGTTTGCATAGTAATCCCATCGTGGAGAGAGATGTTCTTATCTTGCGTCGCCACTCCTCGAGTACACTGATCTCGCAGGAAAACAAAAGGCTATTCACCAACACTGACAAGGTTTGGATAAAGATTTCCAGATTGATACGGATAACGGTGGCTGGCTGGCTGGCTCAGCAAGACCAAGGACGGTGGGAATTCAGGTGAGATCGCAGAACATGCTTTAGACAGCGCAAGATACCTCTTCCTCCTCTTCCTCCTCCAGCCCAGCCATCCTTTGCTCCCCAACTCAGGAGACCATCGTGATGCTCCATGATCATACATCGACATCGACACTGTTGTTGTTGTTGTTGTTGCTCCTGCTGCTGCTGCATTCCATGGCATGCCACGGTACAAGGATTTGGCATCCACATGCACTGCGCTTCTTGGTGAGCTGAGCCGTGACATGCAGGAGCATTGGAGAATGATATTCTGCATGAGGTTATTATTATTATGAGCTCGAACATCTTGTGTTCTGCGTGAGTCGTATTGATCGGAAACTTACCTTTATATTTTGTGATTGTTCCGAGGCAGCCATTTGTTGAACCCATCCTCATTCTCCTGAAATGGTTTATTTGTGGTCCGTATCGATCCGCCGACGTCTTTTCTCCTTCATATGACACTGATGATCGTGCGTGGTTGTTAGTTGTTTCGGTGGGAATGCTCACCCAAAATAAAAAACGAACAAACAGTTGAGCGATCAAGACGTTTGGATCGATAAAAATTCGCCTTCGAGATACTTGTCATTTTGTTCAGCTGTTCGCATTCCCCAACAAATTTCATGATGCTTTCGTTGCAAAGAACCTTATATAGAAGCTTTTCCATCATATTAGTCGGCAGTGTAATATGGGACTAATAATCGGCTTGCCAAATGCCCCAACGAAAGAGATTCCAGCTGAACTGCATAATGATGGTGAGGCAAATGGTTGCGGGTCAAAAATTACTGCAGGTAATCAATCAATCAAGACCTTGTGACCTTATATGCCGGCCCCGGGATAAGAAATGAGATAAGCACTTTTCATGTGCTGTAAGCTTTCTTGTCAGTTACCTAGAGATGATGGTCTGTCTGCATTCCCATCGAAATGATGTTTTATGCTCAAAGAAAGTATGTTCGTCCAGTAGTACTTTCCACGGTTTGTGGGATCCTCTGAGTCCTGGCTTCCTGGCGATTTGCTTTGTTTTGTTTTGTTTTGTTAGCCGAGCCGAGCTGCTGCTAGGGTATCCCCACCGAGCTGATGATGTCATGGAGGAAGAGAAAGAGCCTCGAGGTGATGTTCGTTCGTTTGGCGCAAGCTGAAAGCATGACTCGCGTCTGTTCCCAGGAATACATCCTCCATCCATCCAGAGCTCCCTTCAGTGTGCTCATGAGACTCTTTCTCTGTGACGGTGACAGACTTGGGAGCACCAGACGGACGAGGCTCACAAGCTTCACCACCGTCTTGTCCAAAGCCCACACCCCCGCCCATCCATCCACCAGCTTTAGCACCCCACTGTACTCCCCTACATGTGCCAGCCAGTGCAACTCTTGACTGTGATTGTGATTGTGATGTGATGATGGCAGACTCGAGTCTCGACAGCGACCGAGATCTCGGGTCCCGACCTTCACAGCCTTGAGCAACAAGCGCCTACCAAATCATTTATCTATTTATCTCTCCCTCCCTTCCTTCCTTGTTGTGAGCTGCAACAAAGGCCATGTGCGAGTAACAGCACATTGCAGAAGCTGCACCAGTTGTCATGTAGCTTCTAAGTCATGCCGTCCGTATCAAAGGATTATTTATTCGTCTTATTCTGACTTCAAAATCTTCATCGAATTCTTTCCCGTCCTGACGGTCCGGTCGCCAGCCAGTGTAGACGAGCGTACAATTCGAAGGCAGCAGTATGGTAATAAAGTGTATGTGTATGTTTAGTACATACAGGTGGAGACGATACACGGAGGAGGAAGAATGAAGATATTAGAGAGAGAGAGAGAGATAGTCTTTAAAGGAATGAATGAATCTCTTATAATAACAGTTCATCACTTGGTGTTACTGGACGGCGACTACCGAGGAGCAGGACCACAGTGATTTTGACCCCGAGAGGTCACCTCCTCAGCTCATGTGGTCCCGTCGCAGAGACTTTTGGTGGGAAATGTGACAAATGAACAATGGCAGTATGGCAGCATGACATTCAAGGAAGGCAGGCCCCCACAAACTCACACAAAGGAGAATACTGTAAAAGGAAAGACAGAGCAGCCCGCTCGCTCGCACGAATTCTGTGGTACAACTTTCTATCACATGTTGTTTGCTTGCTTGCTTGCTTGGCCCCATCCCAGCCCAGCGCATCTCACCAGATGTCGATGTCAATCATTGTTGTCACCCCTGTGCGCAGAAGAGTTGAGAAGAATCTCGCAAGCATTCGACTTGAAGTCCAACGAACCACTCATTTAAGACAGTATCGTAACGAATGTTCTCTTCTCTTCGAGCTTTATGATGAGAACTCTCCAAGCGAGTCGGTAATTATATGGTGATGAACATCAGATCACCCCACCTCACTTCACCTCACCTCAACTCGCCGCGGTGTTACAACGAAAATCACATTATTCCGGAACTCAATCGGTTACCGCACTTACTCGAAGACTCGCTCGTTGCAGAGCACAGTGCGAAAAGTGTAAACTTCCACACATGTGCCTTAAACTCTCACTCGAGGCAACTCGAGGCACCGTTTCGTTTGCAAGCTCGTCGCGGTGGACGGTGGGCTGCGGAAAAGTCCAATCGATTCGAGAGAAGAGCTTCTCGAGCTCGAGGACGCGATTGTGGAAAGGCGAGATCGTCACGTCGATATCGTGCCCTGAAGTTGCAACTTACGCTTTCCTCGGCAATCGCATTAATGGCCATCGCGTTTCTCCGTTTCCCCTCCTCGTTTGTCCTGTCTCTGCGCACTGTTCGGTCTGCAGTCCGCGCGTCCCTCCGTCGCAAGAGACAAACGCGATCTGGCCCAAAGATTCTTTGCGCAGACCCAAGGCCTACCCTTTCCTTACCATTACATCTCACCGGCCTTGATTCTTACGAGGTTGATTGCCAATATTCACACTGCGTCCAAGTATACGCTCATCTATGTCTTCTTGCTAATTGTCCGTCTAATCATACGTGTTTTCACCGTGAAAGAGTTAATCATCCCATCCATTTTTTAAATATTAGTCATTACAGGTTCATTTTTTTAAATATATGTTTTAGATTATTGTATCATTCAACTTTTTCATTATAATGTTTTCCTCTCACAAAAATTTTAGTTATATGTATGCAATGGAGATTTTCTCTCTCTATATATATAGTTAGTGTGTGTGTGTGTGTTTATGTTGCTTAGATTACACGATTGACCTATGTAAATTATATAAATTAAAGTATTTTTTTTCTATGATGATCCTCATGGGTTTGTGTGGTCCATGCAAGGCTTAATGGTTTTGGGTCCCTTTGGCCATATTATTATCGGTGGCCGTGAAGAAAACGCTTTTGCATTCCTTTAGCTCGAAAGTTCGTGCATGGGCTTTCTCCAGATGACCCTCGAGTCCAAACAAGTATCATTCTTTGTCATTCACATCGGGAAAGACGATTTAATTGCAAATTACAGCTGCAAACATCAGTTGCACGTGTTTCCATTTCATCTTCCTCAATCTCCTTCACTTCACTTCAACGCTTTCTCTTTGCATGTGAATTTTAGTTGCATGCAACGAAAGACGGATCTCGACGAGCACCCACAAGAAGGAAACTGTTATTTATCAGGAGTACCCCTTTTTGAAGGCCAACCGTCTCTTTCCATGCAATGCGTCGCAAAGAGTATCATCTGCAGTTCCCCTCACTCCAATCACCAATCCCAAGGGCCCTTTCAAGTTCAGACGATCACTTAGTTCGCTGCATCCCATGACATGCGCCTCCTGATGAAATCTCAGCTCGTACACTTCCTTCGTCGTTGCTGTAGTGGGTGGCCCAAATTAGAGAACTTTAACCATCCCTGATTCTCGCAGAAGAAGAGAACCCTTGAATGGAAAGCTGAGCTGATTGTCCTCACGACGATGTGAACCCCTCTGTCCGAACTGACTAGCCAAGTCAAGCCAACTCTATGCACAAATACTGAGTGGGGAAAAAGTGCATGCAAGATGTGAAAGAATGTGAAAGATGAAATGGGGCACCAGCAAACTTGACCAACTGAAGTGCAAAGTAGGTGACGGCAATATGAACCCAGGGAGTAGAACTTGAGAGCACGTTGATGGGATGGGACAGGTGTATGTATGTATGTCCACGGAGGTCGATGAGGCCGGTCACTGAACTGAAATTCGCAGAGCGTAATGAAAGACCATGAAGAGTCAACGATCGTACCGACTGATGGACGTCAGCGACAGAAGTTGGGTGTCGAATCTCTCCTACAAGCGAGCACCGATTAGCGTCACGAGATATTTCGGACGGTTCTCGGACGAGATGCAGATGTTTCACCCCTTATACCTCATCGGCCTGTCACCCGACAGCCGGTCCCTACCCAAATCATGGTGCTTGTGGAGCCCGGCAAAGCTTCACCAACCGAATTGGGGGCTTGCTCATCGACAAAATTTGTATTTGTATGACAGATGAACCTTGTGTGCGTGAGATGAACTATTCGATTCTCTAGCAGAAGAAGAATCGCGTCTGATAAGAACGAGCTCCTTCGTTTTTCGTCATGACGAGGATACATGCATTACAGGTTTCGCAGTGGTCGGAATTCAAACGAGATCGAGCCCTTCGTCTTCTGGAACTGTTGGACATGCAACAAACCTCGATGCCGTATAGAAATGGAGGACGTGCTCGACATTTCCGATCTGGCCCTCGACAGGAGGAGTACCCGTAATTTTTCTACGGATCAGCAGTTGTTGACAGACTTCTTTATGAGGTTTCGTTGTACACATGCAGAATCAGAATAAATTCTGACCAGAGTTCATGTGATCTGTGAAAGTACGAGGTTTGTCCGTAAATTGTGGCCGTCCAGCTTGAAAGAGTCAGAGAGTACCGCTTGAGGAGAGATGAAGTTATTCATGAAGAGAAGTCGTCAAATCTGTTGGCAAATTGCATTGAGATGGGACTGCTTTCACAGCTCGAACCTCGAAATCGGCTTCTCGAGCTTGCGTGCATCGTCCACCAATCCGCGAGAGAGCTGTAAGAATGAATGTGCATGCAAAAGCGAATGATTCGTCCTCGTGTGTGTACGAGGCGGCCAATGCATGCCCCCAATCCGGTCTTCACTACAAATTCGAAGCAAAATCCGGACGACAGCTCGAGAAAAATAATGGTCTCGACTCCAGCTTTTCATTTTGATAAAAGCCTTTTTTTTAACCGGGTTCCCAACAAACAGCGCTACGTCTGGTGCGGATTCGGTCAATGCTCTCGCGGCTGAAACAGGTGGAAAACAGCCACACCTCCAGAGCTTCATGTCTGTAAGGTCGGTGACTATCTCTCTCTCTCTAGGATCTCCCTCCCTCCCTACCAGATCAGAATCAACCTCGCAGAATCTTCGCAACGCAATCTTTGTGTGCTGAATCAGCAAGCAATCCACTCGACGCGAAGATATATATTTCTTTATTGCCGCCACAGTCTTCGTGGTCGGTGCCTCCCCGAAACCCAGTCAGTAGTCACCAGACATCTCTCTCAGCACGCAACAACGTTCATCTGATTCATCATATGACGGACCTCATCTATTCTCACGGATCGCCAATCAACTGCAAACTGCGGATCCTGAGAGGCCACCATCTTCGAATCTACTCCCGATCGATCGATACGGGACTCGAACGAAGAGCAGTTTCGATTGATCATGAAGCCCATCCCATCGCATCGCATCCTCCGCTCCAGCCCGATGATCTTCTCGCTGCAATCATCGAAATTGAAGCAGATTCTTGCAGCGTGAACCTCAAAACCGCAGAAATTCCAGCTCATGCTCAAGGATCGCGGATTTCCAAATCGTCCACGAGTTCGCATCCGAGGAAGACGAATTCGAGCCAGGGGATCCGTGTAACGACCGATTTCAGTGCGCAGTGAAGGCGCACGCGGCGGAACTCGAGCTGGCAGGACACGTGTCGCGCTCTGCGGGCGCCGGGGTGGAGATACTTGCCCCCGTTATCAGCCGCGGTGAAAAGGCCCCAATTTTACAGATATTAGATGCCGCCTCTCCACCCCGCGGGCGTAAAGTGCCCCATCGGCTCGACGGGCGATTGCCTGTAAAACCGGTGCCGCGGACCGGAGGGAAGAGATAGCGACATTCCGCTGCCTGCCTGCCTGCCGGCCCTCGCTTTTGTTCGCAGGGGAGCGAAGAGCAGGTTGGCGTCTCGGCGCGTGCTCTGCACGCCCCCGTCTCGGCGGGGCTAGATTCCCCGTACGGACTGTAGAGGCTGTCGTTTTGCGAGTGCGGACGCTAAAGCGCATTGCGTTTTGTCGCTTTTGATGACGCATCTTGCGCCAGGTTTCTCGGTCGTGAATCCCTCCAACTTTCCGCTTAACCCTAACACTCCGAGAGATGCGGCGCCAGTTTGACTTCGCACTTTAATGCGGTCCGGGGCCGGGACGAAAGTCGCGCGATCACATCTCGGCCACGACTCTCGCTCTCGGGCAGGCCGGATATTTTCGGGGCCGTTAGTCCAAATTCAGCGGAGTTGTCACCCCCCACCCCTTCCTCGTATTTTGTCTTCTTGCAGGCGAGATCCCAACAACATGTTCATGTCGACCGGATCGGATGTACACTGTCGATTCTCTCTGCCGGTCATGCATCTCCGCGACCTGCTGTGAGGGTGAGCTGGGTTACCCTCGGAGGGTTGGGACGCGCTTCCTTGGACATGCAGCGTTTGGCGTTTCTGAGCCGGATCTCGGTACCGCCGGAGGTGCAGTACTGCGGCAAAGTGACTACCCCGTGCGGAGGCTTCGGTCTGAGGTTACCCTCAGGTTCAGTCAACCCTCGGTCTTAACTAACGGGCTGCACACCCTTGTGTAAGTCGACATCGACAAGGGACGGAGGTAACTATGAAGAAGCACCTCTCGGGCTGTCAGCAAATTCTCGCGTCTCGGATCATTACTGACCAGAGAGAGCACACTACGTCCGTAGTCCGGTGTCTTTATCGAATACCGACAAATTCCCACATTGTTGCATTGACAAAATTGTAATGTAATTAAATGATGAATGTTGTTTAAAACATCAGCTCAGCTCAAAAATTGAATGCATCAATCTCCCGATAGTCAAAAGAAAGTCGTGGTGGATGTTTAGTACAGTACTTTAAATTAATATTTTAACATTTTACTCTAGAGATTTCGGAAGGATCTATGTGGTTTAGATTTTAAAATACATTCATATAGATAAGTCATTCAAATTTCTTCATATAAAGATTGATAATGATATGAAAAAATATTTTATACTAAAATTCATACACTAAATTTTTTTTAAACCAAGCTTAATAAAATGTAAATCTTCGAAAGCTCCTCGCAACATTTTAATCTCTATTCTTTATAACATTCTATGATTTCTTACATACAATTTTAAGTAAAGTACAAGTAGTAACTAAAATCTTAGATAATTATGATGATGATTTTTCTCTTGATAAAATTTTCACTATGAGCAAAACGATTTATGAAGACTACGTTTCATAACAACTGGATCGTGGTTTTGTATCAATAGAAGATGAAAAATTGGTGTTTATATTTGTAGGATTCGAAACTTCAAGTTTTTACAACTAAGTCACAAGTGTTGGACTTCAAGCAATATATTTAATCTGTCTTCTTTCTAGTTAAAAGATCAATGTTCAGGTTCGACATACACACTTGTTGAACTCGTGTATCACTTAATAAAAATAATTTTCATTTTATTTCCCATATGTTAGCAACTTATTTTGTTATTATTATCTATAATTGAGAGATATAGGCCTTACAAGCTCATGTCTTATCATGATTACATTTACAATATGTTTGCAAAATTGTATATGTCAAATATGAAACTCTAGTGCTACCGGTATATGCACACAAGGAACAGATTCTAACATATAAAAATGCTCAATCATGACATGCATCTATGTAACGTCGTAGACAGAATCTACCTTGCGCAAAGCAATATGCACTTTCCAACCTACAATCTCCTTCCAGGACTCCTCAGTAGCTTTGAGAGAGTTCACGACATCACACCTATCTTCTTACCATCGCTATAACGTCAGATTTAGCCAAAAATGCATGTTTACCCACAGTTATATGATTGTCGGAAGTTCAGGGCATCACCCTCACAAGTTCAAACTTCCCGTGTAAACTCGAACCACTGGCATTCAAATCCACTTTCCACAAATTGTAAACACATTATTATCCATGATAGGATCCAGGCAAGACATCCTGGACTGCATATGAATCAAGATGCGCATGTCAGCCATCAGAAGGTTAATCGTTTATTAATCAAATATTGCCCCTAAACCACATACTAAAACAAGTATAGAAAACAATGTGTAACCACTATGAGCTGGTGGAAGGAAATATGTAAGTTGGGGAATAACCAAATTGCTTGAAATCAATAGCATGATTCTTTCCCAAAGTATGATAAAATGATGGCTCAAATGTACTTATGGCTAAAGTTGTGCTATAAAGGGTAGTCAAACTTATTTGCTCACTCAAATCCCAACGTCAAGAAATCTATGGACAAATAATCAGCAATACACCAAACAAGTGAAGTTAAAATGAGCACTCATAATAAAAGTGAAGTAGTAAATGTATTCCTCTTCTACGCCTAGAATATGCTCCAAAAATCTTATTAAGGTTGTTCTTTGTGAAACAATTATGTAAGCTCATGTTTTTCAATGTCACATAAAGCTGTTTTGGTAGTTAAGTGTTCATCTCAAAGAACTGAGCTAAGACACCATAAGAGATGATACAAGCACATTTATATAGTTGTCATATGAGAACACCATCAGAGTATATATACGATCGACACATGCTTAACTAATATTATCGTATACATATCTCTCATTTAATATGGAGGATTACATAACATCATTGTAGATATCCAATCGTATGGAATCTACAACATCAGATAAGATCATACATTCTAATCTTAGGTGTTTTATTTGATTATATCAGGGTCATTCATTTCTAGCTCTAAATCTACTCTTATTAGTCTACACTTATTCCCGTTTTCACCTAATCTCAACATGAGCAAGTTATTTGATGACATGGAGTACCTTTCCGATGGTTTAGGATGTTTAACAAAGTTTTATACCCGTCTAACAATCTAGTCTCATATGCTATTTAGATAGGTTTATGCTCTTAGTTCCAAACGATACCAAGTTTAATCACAGTATAAGGGTTTACGTCTTTTTGATCCTTTGGGTATGAGTTAAATGTCGAAATCTTGACTTTGTACTTATATTTCCTGACAAGGTCTGAAATGAAGCAATGAAGCTTATACCAAGCGCTGATCCTTGTATCCATATACAAATCCTAGATCAATGGAGTTCTTAACCCTATTGAATACAATGGGTTCTAAAGCCCAACCTAGTCATCATCTCATGTGTAAAGCTTGATGTCAATCCAACCTTGGAGATGGTTCTTATTTATTATGATGGTTCTTTGGCCTGGTCATATAAATCACTCCCCTCACTATATTCCTTTGTGTTTAATTGGAAAGTCTTCAATCTTAATTATTCAACATTTAGAGTTCAAATTTAGAGTTTAGATGGAAAAGGAAAAATTAACTAGATTAATCCACATTGTCACTACTTAGTATTGAGACACTAATCTTGTTGCAAAATTCATGTCTGGCAAGGATTTTTCTTAATCTTGATGGATTAAAAATTTTCATATCAAGAGTATTTTAATGTTATCCTAATTGACAAATGCAGATGAAAGAGAAAGAAAATGCAGATGCATAATGCATCTCTTGCAGTGCTTTCATAGAAGACAGAAAAGCTCTCCTAACGGTGGATTTCTTGTTCTTCGTCAAGGTGCATAAAACTGGCCGTAGTTAAGTCTGAATATTACAGATACCAACATGGAGACATTCTAGGATAGTAATCACAGGTCAACAATGCATTGAATTGTGTCTTCGATGGTATAACTGTGGCTTAGGGCGTACAGTACCCAATGCTTCGTATGAGTCTCTCAATTTATTCAGGATAATTTTAAAATCAGGAATTTTTCTCTAGAATCTCCAATTTCATCTTGACCCTTTATTATCATTCTGCGTCTCAGCTCAGCATAAACTAGACGCACAAAAGAGAAGTGCACAATGTCTTAGTTGTTAGTGTGTATCTAGGTAGTCTAGGACTTTTCTTCAACCAAGTTACAGGGTTCGTGACATTTACAGGAAAGCTCTATAATTCCAATCGCTGTCGTTTTTAAACAAGAAAATATGCAAAACAGTTCTATTCTCACTAAGAGCAAAATCGAAAAGAGAAATTAATTTTGCAAAGAAAACAAAATACAAATTTTACCCCAGATCAAACTTGATAAGTCACTAACACACTGTCCAATCGTTTGCAGTAGACTGGACTGTGTAGTTACCCAAACTGTATTCTACCAGCTGTCTACATTACATCCAAGGGCCGATCTGCTCTGACTGCTGCAATAGCTGAAATGTTGATCCTGCTTCAACAAGTTTCGGTCATTCGTTTCATAAACTTCGATACATCACTGGAGCATGCTCTGTAGTAGCCACATTCAGCATCCATTCACTGACTTAACTTCACTGCGCTTGAGGAATCATCTCTCTGTTTGCAGTATCGATTGTCAACACCTCAGTGATGGCCACGCTCTTGTTTGCCTCGACCGTGACTGTCTTATTCGACTCCACAACCGCCCGTCATGGTTCCCATGCACCAGCCTTGGATTGCAGTTGCAGAACTCTCCCAAGGTTCCCAAACTCGTAATTTTGAAGGCCGTGGCTATGTTCACCGCGAGCTAGGAAGCGTCAGTGTCCAGATTCAGTACTGTCCCATCGACCTCACTCTAAAGAGCCAGACAAGTACCTCCGACTGATCGTATTTGGTTCTTGCTCGTGCTGACCACTTCTGAATCCTGCTTTAGGTTCTCAACAGTGGAATGTAACCGCTCACAACGAAGACAGAAATGAATGCAGCTGCTGAGAAGAAAGTCAACACTCCTGCCCTGATGCTCGTTTGAGAGAAGTCGACTTGATGTGAACATGAATCTGGGCCTAAATTTGAACCTGAGTCTCAAATCAACTGATGGTACTCTGAAGTTGATCAAGAAATCTTCACAACCTGCTTGATCTGAAAGGATTGATGGTTGAGTATGACGAGATCACAATGAAGCTTTTATACGTGAACGGGAGTCATGAGTCATGAGTCCCATTCTCTCTGTTGTCTTATTTTCTTGGCATTTAACAATTTGATGTTTCGGTAAATGCCGTAATGCCATTACTGAAGTTTCCGTCGGTCAGTAATGTCCTTCATATAGAGCCCAAGGATCTCCTGGAAGGCCACTCTCTGTGGAGAAAGTCGAACAGGGGACGCTATTTTTCTCAATCTTTCTCTGGCGATAGGAAACTGGAATCATGAAACTCTTACTGTTTGCGGGTATGCTGGCCATAAGTGCTTCGGATATGGGTATATGTTTCCTTCAAGACACCACGCCAGCAAGTGTTATGCCAAGTGAGGTCGTAGGGCAGAGAGGAGAAGAGGAGGCCGAGGCCAGCTCTCTGACGGAAATCTCAGATGGAATATGTATTCTTTTGAAACGAGAAGTTCCTGACGGCGCACAAGCAAGCACACGCACTGAGGTTCTTAGAATGAAGTTCGGTTACAAATTTTGATCCTGAGAGAAATCGATTTTGAGGTACATGTGTGACATGGTACCATTTTCATGTCAACTGGTTTCAGAAGCACAAAGAGTTTGATTGAGACAAATGGAATATCCTAGTCTGCAAAGAAGGTCAGCATGAAGGTCACACAGAAAGAACGCGAGTGGCGGCTGTCGGAAGTAGGACTTTGGAGTTGAGTTCGAGTGGCACCTCCTGTCAAAGGGATTGCGCGAGACCAAGTTGCTCTGATACTGACCAAATCTTCTCAGAATCTTCACGGACAGGATCAGTCTGACGATTTGGTAACAATAATCGTGATGTAGTCCCGACTTTTTCTACACCAAGCGTGATCTTGTCCATAGTTCAAACTTTCCAGCAAAACATGTCAAAACTCGCCAAAGTGCCAAGCTCGGATTCTTATTCAACACATGATACTAATGCTGTAGCACTCCAGGCTTGAGTGAATCGAGGAACTCTAAGCCACCACACTGGAACTAAGGTTACTTTGCAAAAGGTTCGTGCAGCTGCAGCCATGGGACTGCTCCTGCTCCCAAATTCAGGCTAATGAGGGTGAGGATGCAAGTCCAAATTTCAATGTATCTACAGTGAAGTAAAATAACCATAAATTCCGAGCGTAGGGTCATAAACTCGAATCTATTCTGTAGTCGATTATGAGGTCATTCGGAAAGACAAACAAGGGCATTTTGTAGCTGAAGAGGTGGATCTGACTGGAATTGATTTGTTGTCGTTCATCCTCAGGACTTCGAAGCTCCAGCCCTCGGAGATCCGCATCACGAAGTAACTTGAAGATGATTTGCTACATAGAGGTGGTTTACATAACCCTTGCATTTGTGAACACATGATCATTAACAAATAGAAAGGACACTGTCTGGTACACCGTTTGCTGAGCGTTGTCTTTTGCCCCTCATCTTTGCCCAAAAGCGATTGGGTCATGTAGACACTTGATAATCGGTTCTGCTACAGCTGAGATTATTGTCGGCGTGGCTAAGTGATTGAAGTAGCATGATTGTGTTCTCTGGTTTTTATATTTACAAGTTGAAAATTTATCTCATGATTCTGTAAGCTCGTGGATGGACTAAGTTTACCAATTCTGCCATAAGAAATGATGACATACATCAGTGCATTTTGATCGGAGTACCGATCGAGATTGACTACTGAAACCTATCGGAAACGAGGATAGAGCCTGATTTGTCCGAATATTATAGTGTCATCAAATTTCTGTCTGTTTCTTTGCAGAATTACCAATTTCGTCACCTACTTTTGCGTCAGTGTCCATTGAGGGGATTCTTCCATCTTCTGAATCATAATTTGACGATTCGAGCGATCCTTCCTTAGAATAATAACATTCCGTTTCTTATGCCTTTCGGCAGTGCAACGGATTGACAGTACAAAGTGCCAGTGAAGACGTGCGCTAGAGTACAGTTGTTATCCGAAGGGAATTAAAAGCTTTTAATATTTATGCTACCCTAACAAAATCCAAAGGAGGCACAAGATATATGGCCACAAATGCTGTATCTGAGGCTGAATATCTGCTTACACTTCCTCAGGGACCGTGACTGTTTACTCGCAGTCAGTACATAGAAAAGAAACCATCCATCTTCCGTTCCTACTTTCAACGATTTTCAGTTGGGGATTCACAGTGGGAACCATCTTAAGATCCTGGGCCATGTCAGATGCCTCTATCACAAGTTGCTCATGCCCCGCTTTGTGATCCATTCTCCACGCTTCAAAGACTGCTGTTGTGAATGTCATAAGGCTCACTAATTTACGACGATCTTTGTTTCGGACAATCTCTGTTTCCAAATAAATATACGTATATACATGCATTTACGTATGAAACGACATACAAATATTGCATAAGTATTAGCGATATACACGTGTATACATGTTTTTTACTTTATTCTGACCTCCAGGACAATCGAATACGGTTGCGACTTCATTGGAAAATGACCTTGCAAGTACCTCAGGACCGACGCGCCTCTTTAGATTTATGTTGTGGTAATTCAACAATGAACAATACCCTGCTACTTAGATTTATTGGTGGAGGGCCGCGCGAACGCGAGCCCTCCGCTGCCACAAATTATGACGTGCATTTTCCCCTTGGGGAAATGCTACAACTCGCCCGACCGTGGTGCAATGGAGGGACTTGTCGTAGGTCATCGCCCTTTTGGATCAGCGATAGGCCCCGCCCAGGTAAGTATGCTTTGGACTATTTCGGGCAGGCTAATGTATGCCCTCACCAACTCTCTGGCGCACAAAGTGTATGGGTCTAAATTTCGCTGTCGACCACTGGTGCCGCACGGTTCTTCCAAGAACTTGCAATTTCTTTCTGCCTCGCTGAGCGTTCCGCAGAAAAACCTCCTCATGCATCGAACAATGCAGAGCTCTGAGAAGCCGTTCGTTGTCTTCTACTGAGCAGAGTTCACGCGCAGGAATCGTGGTCACGCGCTGAAAGATCAGTGAAGCATGAAGCATGAAGCATTGTGTCGAGTTCAGCTATCTGGTGAAAGTGGAGAGAAGTGTTCGGTCTTCTCCAGTAAGGCGTCATCGAGCCAAAGCTTCATGCTCTGATCTCCACGACGACGCGTGAATGCAGCACGGCTTGCTTACAGCACCGAAGTGCATTGTCGAGGACGAGGGTAGGCAGCTCAGAGTCTGTGTGAGGATTTGGAAATGTGGCCAACATTTACGATTTTCAAGCGACCCAGTCAGTTTCCCTACGCTCACCTGAAATTACAGAGTCCATCTTACTTGGGGGACCAATCTGCTCACTTTGTTCACCCAACGCTGTAACAACCTGAATATTGATCCGACTCGATTCACTGTTGCATGCTTCACGCACGAGGGAGGAGCTGCAGAAATCTCCGCAGCTCATCCGGCTTAGATTATTGCTGCCACTAAGATCCGCAAGTACCAAAGGCTGCATGAGGTACTAGCCACATTACTCTTGCTATGGAAATCCACAGAGCGCTTTGTTGAAATAATTTTCTGGACACTATCGCAATGAACAAATTTGTGCACATTTGTCGTTGTCGTGGATAATGCTTTAGCCATGGAGAGATAGATAGGATTGACTGTTGACTTGCTCTAGATCTCAAGTATCTGCATGTAGAAGACAGCGTTACATCAGGAGATGAACGAACTCTTTCCTCTGTTTTTTGGCCCCGGGTTGTTTTTCCTTGCCCACTTGTGAGTTTGCTATCTACCTCACTTGAGGTTGTTGCATGGCACTTTTTCCTCCATCGCTCTCCCTTTTGCTTTACTCGAAGACTCAGCCTTACAGCTGGTTACTTGAACAGAGTCCTGAGAAAGATGATCACTACGAATGTTCTGTAGAGGAGCTATGTCAATGGAGTTCCGTGTCTTCGTAGAATCCGGGGATGAGACTGCAGCAGATATCTTCCTTGTGAGTGAGCAGTGACGTGCGAAGCTGGATCCCATAATTTTTTGGTGTGAAATCACATTTCACCATCTCTTCTCGTATCCGCAGTCAAATTCCTCTTTTCGATTCATTTTCCCGCTTAAATTGATCGCATGTCTTTCACTGACGGATAATATGAGCGCTATCATTCATAGAACAGGGCATCATAGTCATGTCCAGCCAGTTAAATGTTGAAATCTGTGCTCAGTACCTCGCAGTGGCTGGACAAATGCAAACAAATGCACTGCATGTGCTAAGACAATGTTTGTCAATGCAAATGCTAGATATAGTTAACACATGGTGCAAAGGCTTAGGTTCATAGCTATGGTTCAACATTCAAGGTCAGCTGAAGAACAATTCGGAGAAAGTAAACTTAGAATCAATGTTGAACATAAAACAAACTATGGCCATAAACATTCAAGCTTAAAGGCAGATAACGGGTTGATGATTGCAGTTACATGAAACCTGACATATGCGCGCACATGCATAGGCTCGGTAGCATGGAGCACTATTTAAATTATTCCAAACTTTGCTGCTTGAGTGAACCAGATGAGCATGGAACTTGCGTACAAGGGCTCTTGTTTCTCCTGGTGCAAAGCCTACCAAAAGGGCATCATGTAATCAAGCAGAAGTTGGTTCCCTGGGTCTTTCATAAAGTACAGACATCGGATCCAGCATACCTTCACAAGCCACTTCTGTGCTGCTCCTTGAGACACCATATGTATGCAATACCATCGTGCTCAACGAAATAAACTCCAGACTTTTACTTCTCAGAATCAAAGTTCCCAGGCTGTCAGTGTTGCTGATTCTTAACACGGACACATCTGCCCTAGAGGTGAAGCCACATCTGATCGTCTACGCCATGAGGAGAAGCCAAGTTTCCACAAGGCGCACACCGAAAACTATCCTCTGGGTCACTGAAAATCATCTTGCTGAGAACAGAATTATCAGATTCACTTGCACTCGGATCGGTGTCCCTACAGTCCGATCTGTGAAGAAGCTTACACTGATGAAGCCGGATGGAAATCATGTGCCGACGCTACAATTACGTTAGCCAAAAGTCTTGTACTTCGATTATATCCCCTGTGCTATGATAAATTCTGTTTTCCCGCGTTGCAATCCTCTCCGCTCATTGTCTTTGATCGCCACCAAGGTTTCGTTTGCTACTTCTAGTTGTTAGGTACAAGGTCAGGGAATAATAGTGTCCACGTCAGACTGTTGGGTAATTCCTCTGGCATGTGGGTTGCCAGATGGGTCCTCGTGTCATCAACCGCGGAATAGTATATACTGTATTTTGCTGCAGTCTCTGGGTTTATTCAAAGACAAGTTTTTTGAAGCAGTTCTCAAAGGTATTGTATGCCGTTCTATCTTGTATTCCTGCTTTCGTGTATGGGTTTAAGTTTCTGAGACATTGCAGACCCACAGATCGCGGAGGGAAGGTCGCGGGTTGCATTGCTCAAGGCCTGCGATGCCGGGCAACTAGCTTAAGTTGGAGGCCCGGACTCGTATCCTTACGGCTCTATGCGTTCAAGAATTGGAACAGAATATAACAACACACCTGCCATGTCGAAACGAGAGCGACTGACTGCAAAACAGACCTGCATTCGTTGTCTGGATTAATATTTTCACATTAGTTGTCGGTACATTGGCCTTTCTCCAACGTACAAGGGTGGCGGTGTTTGGGATTCTAAGATAAGAGACTCAACCATCGAGGGCAATTTAAGTTCGAGGCATGAATTCGAATGCCAAGTAGGTCTTTATTAGAATTCGTTTACAGTACATCAATGACTTCTTTGCTTATTACTGACCAGTTGGAGTCACTGGACTTGACAAAAAAATGTTGCAATTGTGGAGGCCTCTTCGTTCTATATACTTATCTAGTACAGCATGGTGTATCAACTTCCACTATTGCGGACTTCATATCTCATTCTTATGAGGGGGAGAAGTAGAGAGTCACTGGTCACAGCACGTCAGAGATTTGTTGAAATTGGTCGATGAGGTTGGGTTTAAGTTTCAGTCTTGCACCCTTCACTTCTGCCCCTCTTGAATGAACTTGAATTCCATTTGAGCAGAAGCTAACTCGTGTTCACCAAATAATCGAAATCTGAATTTCCATCCCCCTTTTAATAGCTGAGGTCGGCCATACGTCTACAGTGTTCAAGTATACATGCAGCTAAGACCAAGAATAAGACAGAGAGATTTGCTTTCTTGACTACATGGAATGACTTCACACTCATGTTCGACCGATAACGACCCTTCTTTAGACGTCACAACTTCCTTTATTTATTGACAGGAACTCAAGCTGGATACTTGTAATCAGTTCTAGGCCTCAGTTTAAAGGCATTGGAGTATCAATGAGGCAGTCAAAGCCGGAACTTGGTTATTGTCGTAATATGCATGTAAGCTAGCTACTTTACAAAACGGATTGGGTGCTTTGAGGAATTGAGGTCCTCTGGGATCCACGGTCAGCTAGTAAGGATCTGTTTATCTTTCTAGTACGGTTTATCTCGGAAGAATACGCCTACTGGGTTGTAGTAGCACACAGTAAAGCTTCCTCCATCGGGGCAACGGGCAAGTCCACAACCCATAAACTTTGTCGTGTTCCAGACCACCTGTGATCACGACCACAAATATATCCAACAAAGTTTTAGAACCAGATTTCTGTCAAACGCTCATGAACAGCGTATATACAAGTTGAAAGATGGGTTCATCAAAAGACGCATATCAAGGATTAGCCTGATTATGCACTACACCGTTCAAGAAAGCTAATAGACTTTTCTCTTTCTCTCTCTCTCTCTCTCTATATATATATATATATATATATATATATATATAAATCACAATCAAGTACAGTTAGTGGAAGTACCCTCAGGTAATGGTCACAGGTTTTGCCTGGTGCGCATGAATTTGTAGAGTAGTTGTAATATTTGCTTTCACCAACCCATGACCGTACGATTTCCATAACAGAGGCTCCTACGCTGGTCACATGTAGATTTCGAAAATGATTATTATATAAACCCGACGCATTGCAGTAACGCGGAGCACCCGCAAAGGCCTCGGCTTCATATTGAGCATGTTGGGTTAACGTATCGTCATAACTCAGATTGTGAAGTCGCGCTCCTTTGATACTCATTCGATCCGCGTTGTGAGTTTGCAAGAACTGCCAGTAGATGTCATCTTGCCGGGCCATGCTGCCGAGTGCAGCAATCGAGAGTAACAAAAGCCCACCCGGAATCCACCATGTCACGAGTACTCTGAGACGCTTCTCCATTATCAATCGCTAACGAAGCTGAGTGAAGTCAACTGAAGCCTCTCCAGGCGACGGTAGTCTCTGAGGTGCTAAATCACATAGAGCAGAAGGACGACTGCAGTTCGACGTTTATATAGGACTTCGGTTCTCCTGGGGCAGAGGAGAAGGCCCAAGACTGGACTCGACGTCTAAACAATGTGGTTCAGCTTTTCTAGGAAGAGGACGAACACGTGTGTGCATCCGATCTGGAGCGAAAGCAGGAATACCTGATCGACCGGTGAAGATATTTCCTTCGCCAGATGCTGGAAACTTCAGTTACGATTTCTAATGTAATCATCGATTGCTGTTGGCAGCTCAACCGTTAGACGTTTTCGGACGTTGGGAAGTATGACTGGCTGGCGTGAATAGAGAGGACAGCCCGGCTAGCTTGAGCAGATTAGCTGTTCTCTCCGTCGACTTTATGGCGGGTAGGGGCGAGCACAGGGAGTTAGACATGGAGTTGCACGTTTTGAATCTCGGATGAGTGAACAGAGGCAGGACTCCTGAACTACTTTTCATGTCCTGTATTAGAGACTACAGACTTCCCACTGCATTTCACTAGAGAACCACATCAATCTTACGGACTATCTGTTGCTGATACACCATCTACTTCAATTCAAGTGATGCTCTCTCCATGGATCCTTGGCCTGCAGGTTAGTTATGTGCACAAAGATATACCACTGACGAGCTTACTCTGTTTCGATCCTGCAGAATTGAGTGATGGAACCTTGCGGCGAACTGCTTAATGAAGATATTGAGGATTCTTCATACTCTGATTACGACGAGCATGACGAGTATGATGCCGTTTTACTGTCACCATGACATGTCCAACAGAAACTATAATTCAGTGAACTGGAAAGTTGAAATTAGTTATCGATCAAGTCTCCATTTGTTTCGCTCTCTCAAACTTCTGACCGTACGATTGCTCAAGCCATAATTCTCATGTACAGCGGCCATGTTCTTGCTCCCTCTGGGCCAGTGGGACTCCTTTTAGTGAGCGTGTGATACTCGAGGCAGTTCTGCCCAAGGTCTACGTACAAGTAGTACTCCTCTAGCCACAGATGAATGATCTGAGGATTCTGCCTTTAATATTCGCCTCAAAGCTTTCCCCGGCATGTAAGTCAGGACTCACCTTGTCGTCTGGAAGTTGGGTTTGGGCATGTATATTAATCAATCTACATATCTTCGTCTGCATGCAACGCAATATTAGAGGAGCGAAGATAATGTTAAGTAGTCCTCACCTGTTGCGACTGTGAATAGACACGTCAGAAATTGAAACCACGAAAGCTATTGACATTGGGGGATGAGTGGGGACAGGACTGTCGTCATGGTCTGAGGACTTCTTGCAACGGAGTTCTGTCTGCGTTCTTGCACCCGGTGTCATTCCCTTTCATACATATCCTGTCTTCTGTCAACAGAAAGTCAAACTGACTGTACATGATGCTGCTTCAAGTATTGTCGTGCTCCAAATAGTATTCGTGGAATCTATATTCCCTTCCAATGTGCATTTACTTGAAACTTTTTCGTCTGGTCAGATGTACCGATCATTACTGATTCACATGATTGAGTCAGATGAACTTTCGATGCTGATTACAGGACATGGCAATCTACTTGATTCATGGTTGGACCTTCATGCTTGATAACATGAAACTGATATATTTGAATTCTCACGATGTGAAGCTGCACATTCTGCCTTGTTACCGACCTTTGTAATTTAATCCTGCAATTTGGATGCAGTTCTGAAGGCGCCAAGAGATCAGCAGCATGATCTATCCTCTCTTCAAGGTTGGAAGTGTCGGCCGCTTCAGGGGAGACTGGACTTCCCTGCTCTCTGTATCCTGGTTGGGTGGGAGAACATATTCTAGCTTTGAGATATCGACCTTTTCTCTGGGCCATGGGCTTGCTTGCACTTCCGGAGGCGCCATAAATGGCAAATCTTGTATCTTATCGTCAACGTGCTATGTTTCAACCCCTACGTTTGGCCCGGGGGATTCTTCCGTTTCTGAAGCCGTCATGGACTGACATAACTTTATACCTTCTCCTCAACGTTGGAGATTTCCATCCTTTCACAAAACCCTGCGATTGTGTGCACTTCTGAAATTTGCATTTGTCTTTTACAACTTGTTCTACATTTTCCACGTTCTTCGAGATGTCTTCGGCCCGTCACCCTTTGAATCGCATTCGCTACTGTCACCTCACCGTCCGGGATTTCGTCGCCTTCACTGAGCCCTGGAGTCGTCTGCACTTCTGAAGGATCATGGTCTGTGCTGCCTCTTCTTCTGTCACCTCGACCTTCGAGACTTCGTCCCTCTCACAAGGTCCCTGAGACGCCTGCACTTCCGAAGAGTACATGAACTGAACAAAATCTTCTATTGTCTAATCATCCTCCAAACGTTACTCTCTCTTTGAGCCCCTCATTTTACGGATGTCTACTCCTCTGAACGAGTACTGGACGAAGTGGAATTTTCCGCCATCAACTCAACCTCCAAGTTTTCGTCTGTCTGAGAATCACTCATAACTGGCAATATTTGCCCTTCAGAACAAATCCTGGACGAAGGAGATTCTTCTGCTGTCAACTCAACCTCCGAACCTTCGTGACGATCATCAAGTCTGGAATACATCTGCTATTCTGAACGAGGAATGGGCGAAGTAGAATGTTCTGTTGTAAGCTCAAGCTCCAGAGTTTCGTCTCGGTCTCGAAGTCCTGAGGATGAGAGCTCTTCTGCACGAGTCATGGACGATGTCGCATTGTCTGCTGTCAATCCAATCTCCAATCTGTCACAGAACGAGCCTGAACGGAGCAGACTTTCCCACTGTGACTGTCATCTCAACCTTAACTACTTCGTCTCCCTCCCAAAGTCCTGGAGTCGCCTGTTCTTCTGAAGGGGTCACTACCTAAACGGAAGCTCCTTCATCTCGACATTTGATTTGCCGTCTGCTCTTCGTGACTGCATTATCTGGAGCTCAGTCCGTTCTTTTCCGCTTTCTGGAATTGGGTACAATTTGAGATAGAGAAAGAACGGACCACTCAGACCTTTGCCAATCGGTGATGACAAGCCCATCGGAGTTGACTGATAGAATTAAAATTTGGACTGAATTGCAGAGTTGGCTCATCAATATTCTTCATGTTCTCTCTTACTTCCAAGGACTTTCAGTCTTTTGGAGACTTGAAGGCCATGAAAGTTTGAACTCATTTCAAGCTTGCGAAGTTGAAGAAGTACCAGGAGGTGTGCTTGTAACTCGTTAGGCTGCGAGGGCAGAGTACATATGACTCGAAACAAAAGTGTAATCAAAGTAACATCAGAATGGACAAACGCTCCAAATTTGACGAATAGTATGATTCTTGTTGCGCTCCGGAGGTACAATTCAACAGGCTTTTATTCAGGCAGACTGGATGGTCCTGAAAAATGTTTTTATGCTGGGGAATATTCGGCGTTTGTAGTCCAACGGTTAGGATAATTGCCTTCCAAGCAATAGACCCGGGTTCGACTCCCGGCAGACGCAGAATAACTCAGCGGAGAGTCCCTTTTCTCCACGGCCGAACCCTATACTGTACTTGGACAGGAATTTTGGATCCTGTAGTCTGCTCGGGTTGCTCGGGTTGGTCTCCGGACATGTTCGATTTCGAAATTTCACAGGTTTGTTTCTTACATGTTGTGCTAAATTCTCTTGGAACCATACTTGTGAAAGTAATTACCATCCCCCTGGGGACTAAGATTTCTAACGCAATGATCAATGATTTGGTAATTGAAACCTACCAGAATAAACCCGCTAATCAAACCAACAACGTGGCGGTCGATCTCGTACGTTCCGCTCAATTCATGGCTAGGCATAATTTCATTCAAGAAATGTCCTGATCAAGAAAAGAGTTGTAGTTCTTCGTTATCAACAGTTCAGGGACAACCAATTTGAGGGTATTTGAGACGAACTGTTCACAGAACGAGAGAAGATATGTTTTGACTCTTACTCCGACTTCCAAGTGAACACGGTCTTTCAAGAAAAAAGCTCCGACGAGAACTCCTACATTCTGAAGATGCTCTCAGCAGCCTTTCTTCCTCCACTTCCTAATTATCATTCATAGACAGCGCGGGCTACATCGATATTGTACTATCGAAGATTTATAATAGTACAGTTCAGATCCTAATATTATTGTCACCTTTTGATGTACCACGGCGCATCACAGTAGAACAAAAAAGTTTCAATACAAGCGATTTGAAGCCGTCTACATCAACATGAGGAACCCGTAAATAAATTGCAATATTAAATGTATGTTCATTGGTTTTTCACTTTGCCGATGCTTGGGCTGTTGCCTAAGATAATCTACGTGTCTCCGGCTGGAATGTTTTCATCAGCCGTGTTTGTGGCTTTACCTCTAGTAGACTACTTTGTTCGATAATTTGGATTCTGGGTTTCAACCTTTTGCATGACTTGTTTCATCATTCACCGTTATTAGTATCAAATGAAGGAATGATTCCGAATGCCCGCAGTATTGAAATTTACGGCGGATTTCGATAACAACGACCACGACCAAATAGTAATACTTCCTGCGAGCTTGTAAGCAGGGGCATATTTTTTTACTTTGATGTCTTTTAGCAAAATTCAATAGCTGAATGTAATTGATAAATCTTTCCACAGAGGTTCTTTGCCTAAATGCTATACATGAATCGGGATCCAAGTGCTGGAAAGCCCTACTTCCCAAAGTTTTATCTAGATACATCAAACTGTACTTGAACAAAAACGTGAGTACGCATGTATGAATAATTTTTCAGAATATTCTTCGTCCGAAGGGATGAATAAACAAGTCGACCGAGTAAATTCGCAACCACAGCTCGCAGACCAGGGTCCGACTTACCATGAACGAGGTTTTGTAACTTGAGGAGCGTCAGAGAGCAGCTCCAGATGCAGTTTTACTGTGCCTCTTGTACGCGGTAAGAGCTTACCACATACGAAGAGACATCAGATTCTCAAGGCGCTATCCTTAAGATGAAGCTAGTAAGCTTGGAACCAAACGGCCAACAAATATTTCAACCGAGGCTGGTCCAAACATCTCCAGGGATAGGAGGAGTAGCAGTACATCGCCAAAAAAATTAGCGGTAATGACAGCGAAACGGCGGGAAGGACGGCAGGGATGCTCACGGCTCGGCTAACTGCTAGCCGGCTCATATTTTTTGTTAGCCGTCGACTTACCGGCTAGCCGAAACACTATCTGTAGCCGAAAATTATCCGAAAACTCGGACCGACTCTGAGTTTTCGGTTGATTGTTTCGGCCGAATTGTACGAAATTATACCCCGAACCCTTATTTCGACCGAATATTTCAACCGCAATGCGTTTTCGGCCGATAGCCGTGGGTTAATCGGCTAATTGGCCGGCTAATTAATCGGCTAGCCGATTTGAGTCCCTAGCCGGCTAGTCCTTTGTACCGGGTAGCCGGCTAGCCGACGATTAGCCGGCTACGTGACCATGTCTAAGGAACGGGCTCCTAGAACTGATGGTCAGCCAGGCAAGCCGCTAGTGGGCGAGGCGAAGGAACTCTTTTGGAGCGCGCGTAGTTGGCAGAGACTTTAGAGGGTCGGGATCTAAAACAAGCGGAGAAATGTTGGCCAAACTGAAAGCCTCTATATTGGAGCGCTCAATAGTAACAGATACATCGTTGATAGTTAGGTCAGCTCCATCTTCCGGAGGGAACCTTTAGAGTCGCAACTACTTTAGCCGGACCAGATCGAGGGAACGTCCTTATACTTGCTCTGCGTTCTCTAGAGTCCAAACGAGTTAAGGCAGGGGACTGGGCCAAGTGTGAATGGTCCCGGAGCTGAAGGTCTATGTCCAGACACTTGTGGTCGAGAACCCTCGCGGAATAGCGAAGACCAATGGTCGTCGACTTCCAGATATTCAAGGCGCGCAAAAATCCTCAGCTAAAAACAAGGATCAGGCGGCTCTCAATGCTCGACTATTATTGGCTCCCATGATTTCCCGACCAGTCAGCACACACTGCCACCACGACACGTGTCCTCCTCCCGTCTACACATCGCCGAGGCAGTGCCGCCTTCGGTGATATAGAACACCTCGTTCCTCGGAGGAGGGAAACTGAATCATTTGTTCAGCATTTCTCTTCCATTTCCCAGAGCTTCTGCAAGTCGAAGCCATGGCCGCCGTCACCGCTTGCGCTTCCACCTCCCTCGCTGGACAGGCTCTCGGAGCCTCCAGCAACGCCCTCGCCGCCAAGGTGAACGTCGGCGAAGCCCGCGTCGTCATGCGTAAGACCGTGAAGAGCACCCCCACCAGCATCTGGTATGTCCTCGCCCTGATTCCTGTGGTCCATTTTTTCTGGAAAGCGTGAGGGATTGTGTCCGTCGCGCTCTAGAACTCTTGTCAGTGACAGTTTTCTCTTGTGGCTCGAGAGTTTTAAATTTCGATTTCTGTTGATCACTGTTGAGAGGGCGAGAGAATGATGCTGTCTCGTATTTCTACGAGTCCCTTTCTTTCCGCTGGGAAGTATTACTCACTGTTCGATGAAATGCAGGTACGGTGAGGACCGACCCAAGTACTTGGGCCCATTCTCCGGCGCCACCCCAAGCTACTTGACCGGTGAGTTCCCCGGGGACTACGGTTGGGACACTGCTGGACTCTCTGCTGACCCAGAGACCTTCGCTAAGAACCGTGAATTGGAGGTGATCCACTCCCGATGGGCTATGTTGGGAGCTTTGGGATGCGTCTTCCCCGAGCTTTTGAGCAAGAACGGAGTCACCTTCGGAGAGGCTGTGTGGTTCAAGGCTGGATCTCAGATCTTCGCCGAGGGAGGTTTGGACTACCTCGGCAACTCGAGCCTCATCCACGCTCAGAGCATTCTGGCCATCTGGGCTTGCCAGGTCGTGCTCATGGGAGCCATCGAGGGATACAGAGTGGCAGGAGGACCCTTGGGTGACGTTGTCGACCCAATCTACCCCGGAGGCTCATTCGACCCCCTGAACTTGGCTGAGGACCCAGACACCTTCGCCGAGCTGAAGGTGAAGGAGCTGAAGAACGGAAGACTCGCCATGTTCTCCATGTTCGGATTCTTCGTCCAGGCCATCGTTACCGGAAAGGGACCCATCGAGAACTTGTCCGACCACTTGGCTGACCCCGTTGCCAACAACGCGTGGGCTTACGCCACCAACTTCACCCCCGGATCATAGACTACGACGGGTCTTCGTGAAAGGAATTCACGATCCCCAGTTCTGGACATGTATAGTGGTATAGTGGTCTCGCCCCGGTACTTGTAAAGGAGTAGACTGTAATTTTCTTAGCGTTCCACCCAATTTTGAGCTTGGGAAATGTCCTGGTGCTTGATCGGAATAAAAACGTCATCCTTCAGGATGTTTTTCATCATTTGCAAGGTTAAGTGGTGTAAACCCTTGAGTATCATGTGTTCTGAAGTATCCTGGTATTTTCCACGATGTAAATAGTAGATCTGAAAACAGGAAACGGAGGGAAAGATCACTTGATGTATACAGGGTGGGAGAATTTCATAAACGAAAACGCACTGAGGTGATAAAGAGTGTATCAAACGTGTTCTGAGATACAAATCATGTTGAGGTTCAATCAAACGAAAGTCCATGCAACACTGTGCATGTGGTTACGAGAAAAATGACGAAACGGAGAAAAATATTTCTCAAACATGAAAAACATCAGAAAATATGGCCCTGTAATAGCTCTCACAAATATAGAAAAAGATAAAAAGGAGAAATAAATGATCAAAAAACAAACAAATGAAAACTGTGGACAACAAAAAACAAAAAACAAACAAATGAAAAAAAACTAAACAATGATCAAAACTACTTAGGCAAAATGTGAAAGGATTACAACATTAATTTCAACCACTAGCAACGGGAAAACAATGCGTACCATCTCATTACATGTCTTCCTCAACAACAATACTGAAAGTGAAATGTAAATCACTCTTGTACAAAAGAGAAAATGAAATTGTTTCACGTTAATGCCTTATACCATCATGAAACGTTTAATTTCCTTCATTTATAACATTCTAAAGCGTGACGAAAATCACTACTCCGACATAACAGAAAACGTGAAATGGTTACTTGATAGTGCCTTCCACCATCGTGAAACGTCTCGTTTCCTTCAATTATAAAGTGTTAAAGTGAGACGAAAATCACTAATTGGACATAACAGAAAACGTAAAATTGTTACTTGTCAATGCCTTTCACCATCATGAAACGTCTCGTTTCCTTCAACTAAAACTTCCTAAAGTGAGACGAAATGTACTAGTTGGACATAGCAGAAAACGTAAAATTGTCACTTGTTAATGCCTTCCACCATAAAGAAAAGTCTCGTTTCCTTCAACCATAAATTCCTAAAGTGAGACGAAATTCACTAATTGGAAATGGAAGAAAACGTTAAGTGGTTACTTAATTATAATGTCTTCAATCTCTCAAACTAATTAACTCTCAAAGAAAATCGACCAAACGAATAACTTCTTCGTGGAAAATCCACAAAAGTCCACGAAGATCATTTTGAAGATTCCCATTGCTTGTAAGTTCTGTCGAGAAGCGCAAGCCACGCGAATTCATGGTTCTCCCGTGACAATAGAACGTCAGAGAGCACCTGGGTCCCACTGATCCGTTTCACGATAAGATAAACTGTTTCTGACTTCCATGTTATCTCGACCGGATCTATTGTGCTTTACAATAACAATTACTGGACAAACAGGGCATCAAAATCGGTGCCAATGGACTTCCCCACATGCAACATTCAAGATACCGCAGCGTTACTCTCCGCAGTAAATCCTCGATGCATCCATCAGTCGCAACTTGCCAGTGGATTTTAGTGCAGCTTTCGTCAGCGCAGTTTTCCTACTGGATCAATCCTATTCTCTGTCCAGCTGGCTGTTGGGACTTTACGAGAAGTTTGGAGTCTAGTGCAAGCTGAGCACAACCATGTCGGAGGTCCGATGGCTCAAGTTCATGCATGATTAGAAATCCACCACATGTGGCCCCGTCAGCAAGGCCTGCAATACTATTCGTTCTTCTGATTGCCAGAACCGACATGATCATCTTCATCAGAGGTGCAATCCCAGCTCCCTGGGTCCACAGGGCATACTTCCTGCCGCCTTCAAACACATAACACAGCCTAGTGTTCACTTGCAGACTCACACTTTCTGTAGCCATCAGCCTCGTTTCTTCTGTACTCACTCATCAGATACAGGAAAACATGGCTTCCGTCACCGCCTGCGCATCTACGAGCCTTGCTGGAGTGGCCCTCGGAGCCACCAGCAATGAGCTCGCGAAGAAGGTGAATGTGGGACAAGCCCGCGTGGTCATGCGCAAGACCGTGAAGAGCACCCCAACCAGCATCTGGTACGTGTACCAAACTTCGACTACTTTCACAGCAATTGCATGTCAAAGTAATTGCAATTCACACTTGAACTACATTAGTGGAAATACGTATCTCCGTCTGAGGTTTCATCTTCCTCTATAAAGTGTTAGGCCGCAATTGTCTTCTCGAAATGTATGTTGCTTCTTGCTAAATTTCGCTTCGTCTGTAACAGGTACGGTGAGGACCGACCGAAGTACTTGGGCCCATTCTCCGGTGCCACCCCATCGTACTTGACCGGTGAGTTCCCCGGTGACTACGGCTGGGACACCGCTGGACTCTCTGCCGACCCCGAGACCTTCGCCAAGAACCGTGAATTGGAGGTAATCCACGCGCGATGGGCCATGTTGGGAGCTTTGGGATGCGTCTTCCCCGAGCTTTTGAGCAAGAACGGTGTCTCCTTCGGAGAGGCAGTGTGGTTCAAGGCCGGATCTCAGATCTTCGCTGAGGGAGGTTTGGACTACCTCGGCAACTCGAGCCTCGTCCACGCCCAGAGCATTCTGGCCATCTGGGCCTGCCAGGTCGTGCTCATGGGAGCCATCGAGGGATACAGAGTGGCAGGAGGACCCCTGGGAGAGGTGAGCGACCCGATCTACCCCGGAGGTCAATTCGACCCCCTGAACTTGGCTGAGGACCCAGACACCTTCGCCGAGCTGAAGGTGAAGGAGCTGAAGAACGGAAGACTTGCCATGTTTTCCATGTTCGGATTCTTCGTCCAGGCCATCGTCACCGGAAAGGGACCCATCGAGAACTTGTCGGACCACTTGGCTGACCCGGCTGTGAACAACGCCTGGGCCTACGCCACCAACTTCACCCCCGGAAACTAGAGATGTTGCATGTTTTAAAGAGTCTCGTAGTAAATTTTGGTTCTCCGCCCATGAATTGTACAATATCTTCTGGCTCTCCACAGCGGACATTCTTTGAGTAGATGAATTAGTGTGCATTGCACCGTCGTGAGTAGCTGAGCCGCGCTTTCTCCTCCTGTGGGTGGAAGCCAATTTGACTGACTTAATATAATGCGACTTTTTCTGCAATTCTCTCTATTCTTTGAGTGTGATGTCATTCGCTTGCGAAATTGAGTCTCTCTCTTTGCGGAGTTGCAAGATATGGCTGGAAATGAGAGAGTGTCTTGTTGTGGACACTAGCGGAAGCTTCTAATTAGCTCCTAAGACTCCGATTTAGTATCTGTTTCGCCAAGCGCATGCAACAAAAGGAGTAACGTGCAAATGGAACGCAGAATTATTAAGTTGTCTGTTTACCATTTACCATTTACTTCGCCGGAACTAATGAGACAGAATATGCATGCAATTATACTGAGTAAAGACATATGTCAGTGAAGTTTACAATCCAGGACCTTTGATTGTAAGAAGAGACGAAACATATGTAAAACTTTGCGCCCACGTTGAGTATATTAAAATATTACGATTAATACGAACAGTTCAAAACATATTAACTGTAGAGCATGTCAAAAAGTCAAATACTGTTCCGCAAAAATCACGTTAATACTGAACAATATGAAAAGAATTAGTGGTATATGGCTTGGAAAGAATAAAATGTTTTTTTAAAAAGGGAGAATACTATTATTCAAGTGAACGTACACATAATTCGATAATTTGAGTAAAAACTACAGAAAACAATATATACCAATATAGTCGCAAAAGTAAAGTACTTGTGTACCTTAAGTATCGAAATTTCAATCAAAAGATAATTGAAATCACTTCGATATATTGTTTACTGTATTATTTATATGCACCGATTTGTTTTATGCCTCTCATTATTAACTTCATTGTAAGCAAGCATGCTACAGAAATTTAAGTTATACTCAGAAGTTAGCTTCATTTTTTTTTATAGAGAGTGAGACTTCTGTCTAGAAAGTCCGATTTTCATTTAACATATATGAAATAAACTGAACTTCAAGTCTAGGATTAGCATAATGTCCATAAAAATATATGAATACAAGATACGATTGATATAAAAGTGATAATTAATGACTTGAATCTACCTACCCTTCTTAGCAAACCACTAATTTTCTTCGTCATTCAACAACTGGAATTGGAGTCCTATCTCTACTTTGATAGACCAATGGGTTGCAACACAATTCTATCGATATCTAGTTATACTGTATTTTACCAGCTTTGTAATCCCAAAGTTAGTTTACAATATAAACTACCATTTCTTCCAAACACCAAACTGGATCATCCTCTTCTCTCGGAATGGATGCATGCTAGAGGATCTTGATATTTTTTTATGAAATGTATTATTCTATATGTCATTCATGACAAATCTAATTTGCATATCTTATAGACTTACGAATCAATTTATGAGAATGTATTATACTTGGTATCCTTGAATATTAATCTTTTTAGCATATCGTATGCTATATATTTATCAACTGACATATATATATATATATATATATTTCCTATTAATAAGCATTTTTTTATTTTAAATTTTTTTTCCCTTCCGGTAAAATACATTATCCATATTAAATAGCGAAATATAGTATAATATTTTGAGTGAACTATGTTTGGAGATAGTTCAAACTGGAAGTCTGAATATTCTATGTATACTACAGTATATATAGTTGACTAATTTCTTACTACCTATTTGGGTGGTATTAATGTGGTATTCCCGTTGTTTTTGCAGTATTACTTGATTGTGGACCTTACGGAGAGGAGCAGTTGCCGAACAGAGCAGTCGAGACTGACGACCGACGTGATTAAGTTATCTTCCAGTGACAAGATTCGTGATTCTGTTACCAGGTTACAAGATTCGGTTACCAGGCTAGATTTCCTGGTAACTTAAAATTTGGAGTCTTAGTGAAGGTCGCCGAAGGTGAAGAGGCTTGAACATTTGTTCAAGCCCCCTCACCTTCGGCGACATCTAATGAAGCAAGAGGTAACAAACTGCGCAGTTCATGATAACCGCGCAACGTAAGAGGACCGAGCCTCGGTCGTCTTACCTAGCCTGCCGGCGACCTTAGCCTGCCTCGGGGTCACGCGGTCACCGCGGTCACCGAGGTGACCGCGTGACCCCATGGCAGGCCGACGACTTCCAACGCGACAACCGAGTTTGTATATATGACGTAGCAACTCAACGACCACATTCTACTGCTTCCGGAAATGAAATCCGAATCTGCCACTTGTGGATCTCTAGATATGATTATTTGTCGTCCCACTAGATCGCGGTGCCAAGATTGTGGGCTCAGTCTGAGGTCCTCCTTCTCTTCCAGGATTTTAGCCTGAAGCAGAAATCGGCCCGTTCGATTCTCGTGCCGAAGTGCTGCTATTAAGCCTTCGTGTTCTCCCGGCTACTGCAGAAGCTCACTCCATCCTCCATCAATTCCGAGTCTCTCAACTCCTCGCACGACCAGCGCAATGGCGTCCGCTACTGTCTGTGCCTCCTCCACCTTCGCTGGTCAAGCTCTTGGAGCTTCCAGCAATGCTCTCGCCGCCAAGGTTAACGTCGGCGAGGCCCGCGTGGTGATGCGCAAGACCGTGAAGAGCACTCCCACCAGCATCTGGTAAGCATCGAAGTCTTCTGTGCAGCTCTGGCAATTTTGGTATGATTGAACCGTAATTGCAGTATACACACACTGAGTTTCGAAATTCTGCATTTACCTCGGAACTGCCCAACAATACACAGGGAATGCAATGCTGTTGATGTCCGACCATCATTTCGCTGAACTCGCTCTCTCACTGTAACAGGTACGGCGAGGACCGACCCAAGTACTTGGGCCCATTCTCCGGTGCCACCCCATCGTACTTGACCGGTGAGTTCCCCGGTGACTACGGCTGGGACACCGCTGGACTCTCTGCCGACCCCGAGACCTTCGCCAAGAACCGTGAATTGGAGGTAATCCACGCGCGATGGGCCATGTTGGGAGCTTTGGGATGCGTCTTCCCCGAGCTTTTGAGCAAGAACGGTGTCTCCTTCGGAGAGGCTGTGTGGTTCAAGGCCGGATCTCAGATCTTCGCTGAGGGAGGTTTGGACTACCTCGGCAACTCGAGCCTCGTCCACGCCCAGAGCATTCTGGCCATCTGGGCCTGCCAGGTCGTGCTCATGGGAGCCATCGAGGGATACAGAGTGGCAGGAGGACCCCTGGGAGAGGTGAGCGACCCGATCTACCCCGGAGGTCAATTCGACCCCCTGAACTTGGCTGAGGACCCAGACACCTTCGCCGAGCTGAAGGTGAAGGAGCTGAAGAACGGAAGACTTGCGATGTTCTCCATGTTCGGATTCTTCGTCCAGGCCATCGTCACCGGAAAGGGACCCATCGAGAACTTGTCCGACCACTTGGCTGACCCCGTTGCCAACAACGCCTGGGCCTACGCCACCAACTTCACCCCCGGAAACTAGAGAACTTGTGAATTTATACAGATGGTCGAACTGGTCTCTCCCAGCACGGATTTGTACAATGAGGCTTTCCACAGTAGACATTCTTTGAGTAGATGAATTAGTGTACATTGCGCAACTGTGAGTAGATGAGCTGTTACTCCGTGAGAGAGATTATGTTAACCGCATACATCATGAAAATACAATTGAAAGATTCAAAGAAAATCGATCCTTTTGTCACTCCGTGCGTGCTCTAGGCCCAATCAAAAATGTGATATTTACCAAAAAGTATGCATTGCAAGCGACTCAAACGACGAGGATTGGAATTTGTTTACTTAACATGCGCAATACATTTCGAAAACGTAGTACAGTGTTTAGAACCGTTTAGAATTGCCCACAGTGAACAATGACTGTATGAAAGAATGAATACTAATCAGAACGTCACAACTGCCAAATATATGTGTCATCCGTAAACATGAATAGAAAGCGTGGTTGAATAATAAAATACGAAGTAACCTTGAAATGTGCAATATAATGCTTTAGTCATTAGCTAAAATCTGAAAAAACTCTCTTACTACTACATGCGCAACAATCAACACTGTCACATTAACGTAAATGAGGCAATGCCAATCTATGGTTGATAAGTGTGAAAGAAACATTATCTCGCGTCTAATCGAAGTCCGCAGGTCGGTTTATTTATGGTAAACCGCCTAACTAACATCTTTCGGGAGGTATTGTTCAGATCCTTTGAATCGCAAATGCTTACTGTCATATAACTCTGTTTCGCGGTGCGGACTCATGTGATCGGAATATCATTTCGCATGTAAGCCAGAAGTAATGTGTGAAAACCGATACACGAAATCTCGATTAAAGTATTAAAATGACGCCCTGACAAGAGGAGCGAAGACTGAAGCTTTCATACACAACACCACATCGGGAAACAAGTTAAAACGCAGGTCATCCATCCACAACAGGGGAAACTCGTGTCAGCAACTTACAGATTGCAACCAACAAGCATCTGTCTCGACATACAGAACCTGACACTTCTCGAATGACCGACGCGGCTCTTCATTCATTATTAGCATCCCTCCCATGAGCATCTATGCCCCACTTTGATTTGAGAGCTTTGCCTAGTAGAAGAACATCTTTACAGAAATATTTTACAATGAAAACATTCTTGAGATGGTTGTTGGGAAGTTTGATGTATCGAATGTACATTATTACTTTATTGATGAAACAGATATTCAATACAATATATCTCCAAATGTACTTGAGAGATGGTCCAAACTTATTGTTTTGAATTTTGTGCTACTATTTCAAAAAATTTATAATGTAACTTTCCTTTTTAGGTTTGACTCTGGTAATTATCGGCCAGCCAATTGAATATGAATACAATGACAATATGATGTGACAGTGGTATGCGCATGACATCTAGAAATATGATGTGCCAGTGGTATGCGCATGACATCTAGAAACTTGCTAGACGCTGAATTGACATGATTACATGCGGTTGTACCTAAAACACTACACAAGTTTAGGTCAAATTAATCAATTTGAAGTTGTATCCTATTAGATTGAAAAAACTACCAAGTATATACGTATTTATGTTTAAATATTATAATTACATGTGGAAAAATCAAGTATAAAAAATCCTTGAGTTCAATTTGCAAACAAAGCAATTATCATACTCATGTTCATATTTCATTATTCATTAGATGGAAATTTCATCTTGTGGATTGATAACATATGGATAAATAATTTATATCTAGTAATACTCTATATCATGCTAACAACGTTTTTATAGTAGGAAGGATTTAAATGATTAATAAAATTGGACTAGAGATATGTAATCCGCTCATTATGATCAAAAAACACTTGTTGCTTTTGTAGTTGATCAAATAAATAGTTGTCAAAGTCAACTATCTGAATAATGGCTTCTAACAGAGTAATTTCACTCTTTGCCTAATCTAGAGAATAATGCAAGTTCAACAACATTATTTTGATATTGTAACGGAATATTCATCAAAATATGATGATGAGAGTAGTATCGTATCAATCATAAATTTTGCAATGTATGCTAAAGCTAGCCGCAATCATTCTTGCAGTGTTTTGTTGTTGCTATAAGGAATAACTGTCAATCTTCAAACGTCTTGTTGGATTTTCCAACTATCTATCAAGGTATATCAAAAGTGGAGTTTTTTTCCAATAATGACAAAAAATCAAAAAAATGCCATTTTGATCAACAATAATCCAGGAACTCAAACGTGTTTTTCTTCTGTTGAATCATGTGTGATTAAACACAAAAACAAGTTAAACTTGATTGACAAAATCTTGAAATTTTGAACCGTCTCTGTCAAACTTCTTTCACAAGCTTACTTGAGGTTTTTTTGGTATTCGTAGAATTGAATTTGCTGCAAGAGTTGGGACATGGATTGTATCTTGAACAACTTAAAGCTATTCCATGGCATTTCATAAAAGTGCAATCTCTTGTTCTAGTTGTTGTAGCATGATAACCACGTGATGCATCTCAATGTAAAATGAACAATACAGATATTGAAATCTTATCAAACTATTACTGATGGCCGCTTACAAAATACTTGAAATAGCTATCAAAGTAAGGAAACTAAAAATAGTAACACTCAAAAATAAAAAATTGGAAGTTATATCATCAATTGAAATAGTAAGTACGATTAATGTTGGCGAAAGTGAGTAATAATATATTGCAAAAACATTTCTTATACATTTCAAGGTTAGAAAGAGTCACCGATTTCAAAGTTAAAAATAAAATATCGTATTTAAAGTTGTTTGGATTTGGCACCGTCTTCGCATCGTCACTCTATTGTATGTTGGTGGCAAATGGACTTATCATATATTTCATAGATTCATAATATACTATATGCACATAAAATTAATGCAAGGCCACAAAATTGATCATGCCAAGAAAGCAATATATTCTCACATTTTTTTCCTTGAAACATTCATATGACTAAAACATATTTTTTGACAAAATGCATTTAAAAATTTAATCATTAGAATGAAAGGTGCATAACAATTTGGCAAACAACATAGGTTAAAATCATAAAAAATCAACAAATATGATGAATAAAAGCAATTTAGACAACCACCACATCAAATCAAACAATCAAAGAATTCATTTGAATTACATATGAACTAAATTTAGGATAATGTCACAAATCTTTATTTAAAATTTAACAATTTGAAGTTTAAAGTACATATTGCAAGCAAATCTATCAAATATTTTAAACTAAAATTATAATTATCAAAATTTAATATTTTGACCAAAGACTTGATATTTCTTACGATATTTAATACTTTAAAAAAATCTCAATTAATGAAAATAATCACTTTATTATTTTTTGACTTATCAAAAGTTCTACTTGATTATTACATTTTTTATGATTTACATCAGATTGATGTTAAATACACAAAGTTACTTGTTAAAATTTTTTAATAATTTAATTGTGACAAATATATAAAGACGTATTATTATTGATACAAAATTTTGATAAAAGATATTAAATTAAAATGCTCAAACGTACTAAATTACATGATAGTATAAAATAATGATTATAAAATGTTGATATAGATAAATACATCAATACATACATCATTCTGAGTTCATACAAAATGCATCAATATGTTGATACAAGCTAATATGCAGTGTTTGAAAAATATTTTGTATATGTTCATTGAAAATATTGAAGTCAAAATCACAATAAAACTTGTCTTAAACGATTTTTGGACATATTTATACTAGATTAAGTGATACAAAAGTAAATATATTAAATAAAAAATATAAAGCAAAAATAATGATGTAAATTATTGATATACTTATTTATTTAATAAAATAAAACATGAATATAAATAATAATGCATAAAATGTAATCATTTTTTCATTTAGTTCAACCATATGATTGAATGTTACTCTAATGCACATACAATTGCAATAATGTGTACTATCAATATTCAACATGTTAGCAATTATTATTATTATTATTAGGTAAAAAGTAAATGTGTTAGTAGACGAGTATGTATTGTCAAAACGTTATTTTGTAAGATAAGAATTGACAGTAATATCCAGTGTGTTAGTTGAGAATAATATATCAACAAGTATGTTTATCGAGTTTATTCTTCATGTCATCACTTTCCTATGACTGAAATGGATGTTAGAGTCAAGACATTATCCCATTGCATTTGTTAAAAAAAATCTAGATAATGAAGAGTAGCATCATTCTAACTATATTTCATTTTCAAAGCTATGCTTCATCTCCGAATGAGCTATTTTTTTAATTCCAAATGTTAGAATAAAATTATTTATACAAGAGAAAAATAAATAAATGTACATGCAAAATTATTTTAATAAAATATTGTTACAAAAACTATACAAAGAAATTATTGATACAAAGTGTATTGAATTCACAAGGATTAAATTTTGATACGAAATGTTTAGTACAGAGTGCAAAAATGCCAAACTTAATGCATAAAAGTTTCCAAATAATTGCTGATACAAAAATCAAAACATGTAATTCATGAAAGTCAGGATGATTAAAATTTTAAGTCAAAATTCAACAAAATAAAATTCCAATTTATAAAACATTAAAAAAATTGACATCAATAATAGCTTAACGTAACAACATCAAATAAATATTGATTCAAAAAATATCAACTTAATATTATTGAAAGAATATTATTTGAGAATAAAAAAATATTATGGTAAAAATTTATTTAGAAAATTTGTAAAACACGTTCAAATAATAAATATCAGAATTCTTTTAAAAATTAGAAAATGTGTTTGAAATAATGTCATGAAAAAATTTCAAAAAATTCTTGAAAGTGGAAAAACTTTAATAACTTTAAAATATAAATTTAAAGTCAATGAGTACAAAAAATATCAGAACCTTGTATTTTTTGATTTTAATAGCAATTTTGAATCTTGAAGAAAAAATCAAGTAAAGTAAAAAAATATAATTTATTGTTAAAAATCCTAACATTTTGTAATTATCAACTGCAAATAATTCAATTCAAATTCATATTAAGCTATATATATATATCACTTTGAGCTATGTTGCAATTAGCTATCAATGATTTAATATAATAATTAAAACTTTTGATACAACATATTTTTTGCATATGATAAAATTTTTATTTCTAGTTAAACTTTTTTTTAAATATATGAAATTTGAAAAACAATAATGAATCTTTACACAAAAAAACTGTTTGAATATCAATTAATACACATAGTTATGAAAATGGAAGTTGAAAAAAAAATGTGATAATAAAGAAATTTTATATAAGGAGTAAAATCATATCTATTTTGTGTAAAATTTGATTGGATATACATTTTTTTACTGTTAATTATGATAGAAATTATGAAGATAAATCTAGATAACACAAAACAAAAAAATTTATGATGAAAATATAAATTAGAGAGCAAAAAAATACACACAACCGAATTCAAAATAGTACAATATTTTACATCACGCTTTTTTAATTTTATTGAAATAATTGTGTGCATCCAATATTAATACAAGACTTAATTACAAAGATTAAGTGTATCATGGGTACTCTTATCATTTGCATTTGAAAACGTGTATCATGGATACTCGTTTTCACTAAAGTCTCTTTAATGATTATGTTAACAAGCACATTGCATGTAAATTTGTATGTCATTGCATTAAATGTATAAGAAAAATTAATTTTATTTAATCATTAAATATTAAAAAAATAAAATTTAAAAAAAATGATGATAATATTATACTATATGCAAGTTTTGTGAAGAATAAAGATATTGGCGTGATTCAATCAATTGAAAAAAAACGTTGATTTTGGTGTGCTATGTAATGCTTTCTTTAGCTGGATATAAATCAAATTGCAAACAAAATTGACTCTTTTGTAGACACATTAATAGTGCATATCACATTGGAAATTGACATATATATCAAGTTAATTCATGTAATCCACATGTAGAAATATTCTACATCATAAAACATATTAGATATAATTTTTTATTCAATTATCTTGTATTCTACATATGTTTGTGTATTTGACAATTCTACAAGATTGGTTGTGAGGATTTTGAATGAAAATCACCTGATTTGAAAAATAATTCAACTGAATATTCTATGATCAATAATTTGTAATCAAGCTTTAGTATTTAATTAGATTATCTTAACAGTAACATTCATAAATAAAAAATAAATATTTACTTCATATATTATTTGACAAATGTGACTGTAGAAGATTCATGATCTCGAATTGTATATTGTCATCTGAGCATAGGAACAAGTGAGGTTTTTAAAAAATTTCAAGTATGTAAGTAGTATGCATTTTGTTTTTGAAATCAAAATAAGTGATATTTACTGAAAATAAACTCAATAATTTGAAATGAAATGATTATTACGATTATAAATTTTTATTGATTATAAAGTAGATTGTATAAAGAGTTAAATTCACTATTTAAGCAAGATTGAGGATGTTATAAAAACTGAACATGATTTTATTAACAAAGATTACATTTTGCAAAACACATTGAGTGTTTATGTATGTTGATATGTATGAAATAATAAGTGGGTATGTTATGTTAGATTATGTTTTATTTATACTACATGGAAAACTATGACTTTCAGTTATTCATGATGAAGTATCAAAAAATCTTAAAGTGATACTTAGAGAGCAATAAAATGAAAATTTCCAAAATCTTGTGTATTCAAATTTGATTATGTAGACTTTACATTTGTTTCCCCAAAAATTCTTTTTGATCTTGGGATGGAATTCCACGGCCAATCTAAATTCCTGTCACAAGCTAAACATACTTTCATCTCGTAATTGGAATTATCAAAACATTACTGAGTAAATTAAGAACACATTACTTTACAACCAGTCTTAATATTTTAGTGTGATTTTTTATGTGAAATTTATAATATTTAAATTTATCCTTTGAGAGGACTAGAGTATGTATTCCTCTCAAATTTGCTCTGCATTTGGGACATATTTAGTCTTCAGTATTTAAAGAAATATGAATTCGAAAATTGCCTCCTGATTGTGTGTTGTTCTCAATTCTCATAGAAAAAAAAACTAAAAAAACTAAAATTTAATTACACTTGTGTATCTTTTTTTGCTACAACCTCAAATCTTTAATACTAGTATCTCATCTGTTTTGGCCTTCAAATTCATCTCTGGTGTTGTTTGTCACCAATCTTGCTTCTTTTCCATCCGTACGGAAAATAATAAAACAACCTACTCAACAACCTTCTGCCCCGACCTAGATTGCGTGTATGCTCTGCTCCTTAAGAAAAGCATTTTTAAGACTAGAGGTAACAAATGTGCAGAGTCAACACTTCTAGAGCTCAATTCGTCAAGAAAGATACCAAAATCCAAATAACATAAAAGTGAATGTATTTGTCGAACTGAGTTGGTAGTAGGAGGATAAATGCGAAGAAAAATAGGTAGTATCGAGACAACTCTCTATAGAAGATAATATGAGCTTCAAGCAGGGAAAATGTAAATTTCTTGATAATATATTGATCTGCCCAATGGTAGGAGCTGTAGGGCAAGAATCATATGTTGTAAATGGACCATTGTATTTCTTTATGGAATTTATTTTCTTTCTGCATGAACCAAAGTACAGAAGGTGAAAGTTGTAAAACATATAGAGTAAGTTGACGATCATATCGTCATTCATTCTAACATGTTACCATTCTTCCTATATGTCTTGCTTGCACTGAAGTACTGGAAAGAATCTTGTTGTAAAGGATTCCCGGGACAATATGTTCCTTGCTATGGGATCTAATCATGATGAACTATGACGTCAGGTTGCTGAGTTTATTTTTTTCCATGAAATTGGGAGTTTATAAGTTATATATTTACCTCTAACCACAGTTGCAATCTGTACTTCAACGAGAGGTATCATAAAACATACCATTCGGTCATATTTAATTTAGTGCAATACAGTGAAAGATTTCCAAAGTTAGCCTCCATCTTTAATCAGAATTTTTAAAAGCCATAGAAACTATACCACTCTCAGTATAAATTATTCATGTATGATGCTTCTGATGTCATTAAAAGCTATCCCGCAACGATCATGTGAACAAGTTGAGTATAGGATACCTAGTCGAGAAGATTTATGAGGAATCTTAATTTATCAAAGGCATTCCGTCAATCACATGGGACCAAGACGTAAACTATAAATGAGGATGGAAAATCACGTGAATAGAATGATTTTATATTGTTACAGATTTGGTCGATGACATGTGAAAGTGGAGAGTCATGAAGGGAGAGCCATGAGTGTGCTACTTCCACGTGTATTCCTCTAGAGCGCTAGAGAACATATAACCTCAAATCACCTTGTCGAATAAATTGTATCGGTTTCCGCACTGAGAACATTTTCCACATTCGGTTCACTTTAAGATGTAAATGTCAAGCGGGATATATCATAGTAAGGATGGTCAGTACATACCTTTCGAGTCATGAGGTCATTCTGTCAGAACAATGTCATGAATGTCATGTAATGAGCAAGTCTAAGCCAATTTTCAGGCGACAAACAAGTTGGAATATAATGACGAAGCCATTCAACGACCACATCTCTAGCGCTCGCAGAGGGCAATCCGAATCCGGATTTACAAGTGGATCTTCGGAGACGACCATTTGTGGTTCCCCAGGATCGCGGTACAATGTTTGTGGTCGGGGGTCCTCCTCCAATTCCTCACATCACCCGTAGGATGAACTAGGCCGCTGAATTGGGGTATATAGTCGTCTGTTCCTCCCAAGATCCTCAGAAGCACTCACTAAACCCTCAGTTCACCAGAAAGCTTCTCTCTCACCTCACCAGGACACGATGGCCGCCGCTACCGCCTGTGCCTCCTCCACCTTCGCTGGTCAGGCTCTCGGAGCCTCCAGCAATGCCCTCGCTGCCAAGGTCAACGTTGGTGAGGCTCGCGTGGTGATGCGCAAGACCGTGAAGAGCACTCCCACCAGCATCTGGTATGTTCGCTCTGCACGTACTGTTTTGTGACTGTCTGAACTGCTCGCTCGAGGTCGGAAGGAGCTCAGACCGAGTTTGCTGTCTTCGACGAAATGTCGTTCTTTTTCGGGGTCCGTTGTGCTTTAGTCTTCTATTTCCTACAGTATGCATATGATTCATTTTTTCTGAACGATTACAGGTACGGTGAGGACCGACCCAAGTACTTGGGCCCATTCTCCGGCGCCACCCCAAGCTACTTGACCGGTGAATTCCCCGGTGACTACGGCTGGGACACCGCTGGACTCTCTGCTGACCCAGAGACCTTCGCCAAGAACCGTGAATTGGAGGTGATCCACGCCCGATGGGCCATGTTGGGAGCTTTGGGATGCGTCTTCCCCGAGCTTTTGAGCAAGAACGGTGTCTCCTTCGGAGAGGCAGTGTGGTTCAAGGCCGGATCTCAAATCTTCGCTGAGGGAGGTTTGGACTACCTCGGCAACTCGAGCCTCATCCACGCTCAGAGCATTCTGGCCATCTGGGCCTGCCAGGTCGTGCTCATGGGAGCCATCGAGGGATACAGAGTGGCAGGAGGACCCTTGGGTGATGTTGTCGACCCAATCTACCCCGGAGGCTCATTCGACCCCCTGAACTTGGCTGAGGACCCAGACACCTTCGCCGAGCTGAAGGTGAAGGAGCTGAAGAACGGAAGGTTGGCGATGTTCTCCATGTTCGGATTCTTCGTCCAGGCCATCGTCACCGGAAAGGGACCCATCGAGAACTTGTCCGACCACTTGGCTGACCCCGTTGCCAACAACGCCTGGGCTTACGCCACCAACTTCACCCCCGGAAACTAGAGATGTCTTGATCACAGATTTGATTGGGTACTCCTGTACAATATCGAGTCGCATCCACTATGGCCATTCTTTGATTAAAATTAATCTATTAGTGTATATTTTGCCCGCTGTGTGGAGGCGAACCATTTTGTGTATCTGTTCCCGAGGCGGAGAGCCTTTGATCGCTTGATCAAATTTATAAAATTTATGAAAGCGAAACTTGCCGTACGACTTCATGTCACCTGTGCATTACTACGAAGGAGGAGATTACGTGGAAATTGTGCTTGTGAATCCTATCATGTTTTGAACCTCTGAGAGACGCAACTTGTTCGTTCAGGATCAGTCAAACATGAAGTTCAGGAGAGTAAAATAACCGGAGGAAAAGAAGAGCATAGAAAAAGGCAAGCAGAGAAAATGCACTAATAAATGGAAGGAAAAAACATAAAAAGAAGCGCACTAACACGTTATTAGAACACCCTAAACTTTGGAAAAAAAACCTGTCAAGAAAAGAAACGCTACTTCACAAAGTCAAAAAAAGCTTAAACAAAATAAATTATACAAAGAAAAAATTTAAAACTATTATTTATATATCTTTAAAACTCATAAATAAAAGCTAAATTGAAAGGATATATGTACACAATAATAAAACAAATTGTATAACAAGAAAAGTCAACTCTTCTAATGTTTACACTCTTCTAATGTTTACACCCAACTTCACACAAATGTATATTGAAATTTATCACTGAGCAAAATTAGAAATCTAATCGTCTGTAAGGTAGAAAATTCGATATCAACGACAAAGCTAACTGGATATTAGCTACGAACGCCTTCAATCGTCCTCACCGGGACCTCGGAGACAAGTGCAGTTCGATCAGAAAGGTATTTTTGGGTGAACTGTGCACGAATTGTCTCGCGGAGTGTTTCTTTGCTAAAAGCGGAGGCAGGCACGGAAAATATGCGCGGCCAATCCGTGGCAGTCGAGTAAATCCTCGGAGCTGCATGTTCAAGTTACCTGGCAAGTCTTACGATCAGGTGTGCGACAAATTCGAATGCGCTTGGGCTCATGCGTGCGCAGCATCTGGACAAGGTGAGATCGATCTGACAAATGTACACGATCCTGAAGAGATAACAGAGACTATCAGGATTTTAGTGACTTGCGAAGAACGACGACTGCACCAGCTGGACGCACACGACAAAACCTCTTGTGGCTCCAGTGGATTCTGGCGAATTGCCCCTGCTTCATGGGCCACCACAGCTAGGGTTTACGTTCAGGGCCAAACGACCCGTCGAAGATTCACCGGGTGAAATCCAGGCTGCATCCTCTCAGTGCTCGTATATAGCTCACTTCGCTTCTCTCGAGAATCACAGCAGCACTTTCGTACTGTACACTCAGATTCTCCCTACTCTCATCAGTCAGACACCATGGCCTCCGCCACCGCCTGTGCTTCGACCGTCCTCGCTGGTCAGGCTATCGGAGCCTCCAGCAATGCTCTTGCTGCCAAGGTCAACGTTGGTGAAGCTCGAGTTGTTATGCGCAAGACTGTCAAGAGCACCCCCACCAGCATCTGGTGAGGACACCGCCTGAAGCTCAATTTCAACAGTCCAGTATGATCACAATCAAATGCAGTTGTAAATGTCGACATAGTCACTTGATAAGCATGCATTGCATAGCTCTAATCTGATGTAGATTTGCCAATTTACACCATTCTTGTTCAGAAAGCATTCTCTGATTCGTAGATCTGATCGTGCTCATTTTACGTCTCGCAGGTATGGCGAGGACCGACCCAAGTACTTGGGCCCATTCTCCGGTGCCACGCCAAGCTACTTGACCGGTGAATTCCCCGGTGACTACGGCTGGGACACCGCTGGACTCTCTGCTGACCCCGAGACCTTCGCCAAGAACCGTGAATTGGAAGTGATCCACGCGCGATGGGCCATGTTGGGAGCTTTGGGATGCGTCTTCCCCGAGCTTTTGAGCAAGAACGGTGTCTCCTTCGGAGAGGCAGTGTGGTTCAAGGCCGGATCTCAGATCTTCGCTGAGGGAGGTTTGGACTACCTCGGCAACTCGAGCCTCATTCACGCCCAGAGCATTTTGGCCATCTGGGCCTGCCAGGTCGTGCTCATGGGAGCCATCGAGGGATACAGAGTGGCAGGAGGACCCCTGGGAGAGGTGAGCGACCCGATCTACCCCGGAGGTCAATTCGACCCCCTGAACTTGGCCGAGGACCCAGACACCTTCGCCGAGCTGAAGGTGAAGGAGCTGAAGAACGGAAGGTTGGCGATGTTCTCCATGTTCGGATTCTTCGTCCAGGCCATCGTCACCGGAAAGGGACCCATCGAGAACTTGTCCGACCACTTGGCTGACCCCGTTGCCAACAACGCCTGGGCCTACGCCACCAACTTCACCCCCGGAAACTAAGCCGTCGAAGCGTTTCCTTCCAGGCCGCCGTTCAATTTTGACTTGAGCGAGCTGTAATATACGAGTACTTTAGGATTAGAAGTAGAGTAGTCAGTATCCATTGACCTGAGAAGTGTAATTCTGGACACAATCATGTTTCATCGGCTTTTTTATTGAACCCGAGTTCAGCAGCTACATACAGGTTTTACATTTCTGATATAAATTGTCAACGTGGATGTCTGAAGCAGAGTGTACTCTGTTCTCTTGCAATGAAGTTTTCTGTGGAAACTAAGGTGCCTCTGGTTATTGTGATAATCTGTGCAAAAATGCACGAAATCAATCGGAACTATTCACAGTACTGGAAATACTAACGTAAGAATTGTGGGAAAAATAAAAATTAATTATGAATGTAACATTCACACTAGCTTCGGAAAAGAAACGTCTATAAAATAAACATTAATGGAGAAAAGTTAAAGAAAAGATATAAAAACAATTAACCATTATAAAGGAGGGAAAAAATGTAATAAAAAAGAAATAATCACAAAAAATGAAATAGAATATTTGAAGAGAAAATACTTAATATGTGAGTAGTGTCCCTCACTGGAAAAATCGTGCATTATTGACATAACCTCACATATGTAAAACTTCTTCTGTTATTACTATTCAACATTTATGAAATTTTATTATTTTATTTAACAATCAGAATCGATCAGACTTTTTAATCCGACACCCAAAACTGACAAAATATTCCAAGGAACGGTGTGAATACAGACGCTATTGTACAGTTTTCTTCTGAACAGGCTATCTCATTTTTTACTTTACTGAAAATCCATGCAGTCTACATAGTTTCACTGATTGGATGTTTCCTGCACCTGAAGATGATTTACGGTTGTGGATAATTGATTTTCTTTAAACATTAAAAGTGACAAGAATAATATCAAAATTATCGATTGTAAATTTTCTTTCACTTTTCTTCTATATTGATTTTTCTCAAATAAAAACTGGGTTATTAACACCTGCTTTACGTTTATTGAGGGTTGAGGGTTGAGGATTGAGGATTTTTCTTTTCCGTTTCATAGACGTTGTTTTTCCTCTATTTGTTATCTTATTTAGTTTCTTATTAATTTTAAATTGGATACTTTCTCGGTATACAAAGTGAGAGTCTTTCGTTCTGATTATTGCACATTATCGGCCACGTACATCATCTACCGTTCTAAGAGTTCACTGTGTTCATAAATTGGAATTTTGCGTAAATAATACACCAAACGATAACAGTCACGCACGATTGAGTAAAAGAGACGAGGAAGTGAAGGACTACAAAGTTGTTGATGACCCAATTGAATAAGGTTGCTTTAATGATGTAGTAATGTACATTGAATTACAATATCATGCCCACCAGAGATGACCGTGGAGCTTTTCTATCTTCACATGTCTCTAGTTTCCGGGGGTGAAGTTGGTGGCGTAGGCCCAGGCGTTGTTCACAGTCGGGTCAGCCAAGTGGTCGGACAAGTTCTCGATGGGTCCCTTTCCGGTAACGATGGCCTGGACGAAGAATCCGAACATGGAGAACATGGCCAGCCTTCCGTTCTTCAGCTCCTTCACCTTCAGCTCAGCGAAGGTGTCTGGGTCCTCAGCCAAGTTCAGGGGGTCGAATTGGCCTCCGGGGTAGATCGGGTCGCTCACTTCTCCCAAGGGTCCTCCTGCTACTCTGTATCCCTCGATGGCTCCCATGAGCACGACCTGGCAGGCCCAGATTGCCAGAATGCTCTGCGCGTGGACGAGGCCAGAGTTGCCGAGGTAGTCCAGACCTCCCTCTGAGAAAATCTGCGATCCGGCCTTGAACCACACTGCCTCGCCGAACTTGACGCCGTTCTTGGCCAGCAGCTCGGGGGTGACACATCCCAAAGCTCCCAACATGGCCCATCGGGCGTGGATCACTTCCAATTCACGGTTCTTGGCGAAGGTCTCGGGGTCGGCAGAGAGTCCAGCGGTGTCCCAGCCGTAGTCACCGGGGAACTCACCGGTCAAGTAAGATGGGGTAGCGCCGGAGAATGGGCCCAAGTACTTGGGTCGGTCCTCACCGTACCTGTGCATTACGAAGCCTCGTCAGTTACAGAGCTCCACAACCAAATCCCCTCAAGCTCACTTCTCAGCTCATAATGCCCACTGGCAGCAACCACAATCCCACTAGCCCACCACCGAACTCATCGTTTCGACATGTTGGAAGTAGCGACTGCAACATTTCATACAGCGGTGTTCCTAAGACATCATGTAGTTACTTACTATAATTCAGTAGTCCTGAATTTTTTTATAAGTGAGAACAGATTAAGGCCCGCTCAGACATTTTTTCTCGAATTAAGGCGACGGATGACTGATCGGAGGATTCCTTCTCTTCTGTGACTTTTTCTTAGACGGAGCAAACACGGACACGACCTTAAACCTACAAATACTGAAAACCAACTCACCAGATACTGTTAGAAGCAGATCCCTTGGCCATAACAACGCGGGACTCTCCAACATTCACCCTGCTGGCGAGTGCATTGCTGGAGGCTCCAAGAGCCTGTCCAGCCAAGCTGGTGGATGCACAAGCAGTGACGGCTGCCATGGTTGATGGCTGGAGATGCCTGTGTTGTTGAGGAGTGGGGCTGCGCTACGGTGTAGAACTTGAGTACTGAGGTGACAGTGACTTGCAATGGAGCTGAATATATAATATGGGGAAGCCGTGTCTTGATTCGACGTTGATGAAATGCTGCAATAGCTCCTGTTCGTAACCTGAGATCAAATGCACCAATGACACTCGAGGACGAGGATATCGTTGGGGCCACCACGCCAGAACAGCAGGCAGAGTGGAAAGTTTTACGAGAATTCGATGCCGAAATTGGTTCAGCTGCCAGATTTATTCATACCTCAATTCATAGATGTTTCAAATAACTTTCTACCACTTCTTAACCCTCGATCTGTGAAGATGCCAATGAGGAGAATGGTATAATACACTGAATTAACTTGTCCCTTTGTTCAAGAAGCTCGTCAGTAGCCTGAATAATCCACAAGAATTCTGTATTCTCATGTACAAGAGCAGCTGAAATGTCACGATGATTTGCGTAATACTATTGAAATTGACCTCATTTACGAAGTCAACTGTCTGGATAGAAGTCTGATCTTACGCTAAATATAGAACAAGCGAATCAATGATAAGAACACTACATCGACGTACTAATCGTACAATCCAAACCTTCGACAGGCAGCAGTGACAGATTAGATGTCGATTATCAGTTACTGATGATACCACTACTTTCTTGTCCTTATGTAGCAACGAGTACTTTGAGTGGGGGGATAGTACTAATAACAAACTGTGACTTTCGAATGAGAGTTATCCTCTTTTGATTTGACAACTCTTCACTATTCCGAATTCTCCCACTGTAAGCCACAAAACTTTTCTCGTGCTGATGCAGTGTATTGCACTGGCTTAGAAGTGTATTTATCAGACATTAATATCGTATTTACTTTCTGTGAATACTTTATTTACGTGCTCAGAGAGCATTGCAGGTTTCTTCTGCTGAATGCTGGTCCAAAATTGAGGTAAATTACTGACATTCCGTTACTAGCATGGCGGGACATGCTCCATCTACTCTCAGCCCCATACGGCCCAGTTGTTACAGACTTTGTCCAGTCACGTTGTTCTATCCAGCTGTCGAAATTGCCCTTGAGTCGATCGAACTCACATGTTTATACTATTCTCAGATTGCCCTTCAAGCATTTGCAGGGCAACGGAAGCGGAAACCAAAGGTTTGTCTTTTATTGTCGCCTTCAAATCAGCCGACGCAGGACCGTCACATCTTGAGCAGGAAAGTATTATGGAGTCGAGATCACGAGCTCGGCAGCACCAACGCAGACGTTTTCTCGTGGTGGAGTGTGACAGCACTGTAGGAGCACAGGGACGATCGTGCATGGGCGTGCCGGTTTGCTCCCGTTCTACGATTGCCTTCCGCGGCACCTACCGTCGAAACGATTTTGTCGATAGACGACATCGACTGGACCAGCTGTGCTTCAGCCAGCCCAGCCATGCATTCGTCGCCTACCAGTAGCCGAGGACCTGATCTCCCAATAGCAAACAACGCAGCTATGACTTATCGCTTCGGTTGCACAACTCCGAATGGCCCGAGCTCGAGAAAGAGTCTCATTGGGCTGCGAGTGTCAAGCTTCGCGCAGTGATTCGGTCATCTCTAACGAGATCCTTATGGAGGCGAAATGGAGCAATCACGAGGTCTGCTGGATTAGAGGTTCTGCTGTCCCCTGTCGCCTCACCAAATGCCTGGCTCTGCGTGATCGAGCACCAGCACAGTAGACGATACCGACAAGGCCGCTCAGCTACATCTACATCTACATCGGCCTGATAAAGCTGCCGAGGAGCACGGATTTGATGCACCACTGTCAGCGCTGGATTCGTGGCGGGCCCTGGGCCGACTTTTTTCCAAAAGGAATGATTCTGTTGCTCAGTAACTTGCCAGGCCGTACCGCAAGCTGCCCTGCCCTGCCCTGCTCAGTCGGATGTGGACTGGCCACACCGTTTTGTACTTTCCTCTGGCAGCTGCACGCATTGACTCCTCGACTGTTCAGCTGTGGATTGCGCAGATGCGCACGACAGGCATCCATTGTACTCATACCGATCCTTTGCCAGAGATTCGCAGACAGACTATGTGCCTTGCCTTTACTGCAGGAGTACATGTATACGGTTGTAGTTATTCTTCATTCCTACCACGTAGATGACTTGCAGTCGAGTGTCCTGTGTCTGGATCCTCAGACCGTGGAGCCCTCCTCTGATGACTTGATGCTAAGACTTGAAAGACAGCAGAAAGAGTGAGTACTCACCTCAGTAACGCCCACCAAAGGTCAATTTAGTGATAATTTCACTGATTGTATTATACTGATTTTCGTTCTAGTATATACTCTTATCGGTAACAGGGGCCAAGATTATAACAAGAAAAGGTAGGCGAGTAAGCTGTCAAGCCTCACCAGATTAAACCGAGCAGGTGTACAGTTTACACTTTCTCTACATTAATGAGAGGTACAGAATCATCTGCACTAATCAACATACGTTTGAGCAAGTCAGATACTTGACTAGCGGAATGTACTTCAACAAAATTGACATGGAAAAAAAATAGAATGCCAGCCACCCAGTTCTTTCAGTGCTCCCCGGGTAACGGTAACTAGGCCTGATTGTCATCGGCAGTTCCCTCATTTTGCGCATAAGGCCTCGGCTTGTTTCGGGTTGTTGTTATGACACGGTTAATCCGAGTAATCTGACATGAGTTATCTTCGGAGCGTAGTATATACGAGTAGATTACAGTATTGGTAACCATAACTAAGTGCTAATTGAAAGGTCGTAAAAAGTCCAATGTTGAATCAATAGGCCAGGTAAGTTTGTAGTCAGTCTCAACGGTTATAACTTTAAAATTTTATACATTTCTTTCAATCTTATTTCATTCATCTCATAATCGAACCACATGCACTTGAACATTGGTCAATCAGAAGTAATATTGTTCACAAGTAATCTTGACTTTTAATTCTCTTGCAATTTTTTGCTACTTGGCTTATTATGACATTAAATCCTTACTAATTTCAGTAAATAATGTTTAATTGATAGATAAGTCATGTCTTTGAATAAGCTTAAAAGCTTCAATATAGAGTTTATTTGATCAAGATTTAATCCATTTTAATATATGACTAAAGTTTCACTTTATTTGACACTTTTTCAACATGGTTCAATATAACAAAAAGAACCATACACCATGAATCTATGATTAGACATTGATTTTTAAAAGTTTAATCCTACAAGATACAATGAAGATCATTGTGTTGTTTTTGTTGATTCAAACCATCAAGTAGCTTGATGTAGAACTTTGATATGATTGTTGACCGTTACTTTATTGATAAGAAACTTTTTTTTTAAGTTGCATTAAAATTGATAGAGTTATATAAAAAAAAAATTTCGATTATCAATTAAAAAACAATAGGCTGTTGACATTAATTCAATGACATTAGTTTTGTTTTGAATAAACTAGATAAGGATTTTAAAAAAAACTAATGAAACAAATTTTTTTAATGATAAATCTTATTATTAAGTCTTGACTGGCAAAAAATAATTTTTAATCAAGCAAAATTTGAGAGCATTATTGTTTTGATGATTGCTAATCAATGAATCATCTTACATACTTTGTTCACAATATTTACAATTGAATATTTTTTTCATAAGGTTTTTGATCATTTATATAAAAATTATATGAAGACATTTTTTCATTTTTTTAAGGGATAATAAATATTAATAAAAACTAGATGATTTTTTTTATTATTTTCCTTGTTTTATTGACATGCTACACAATTGCAAATAAAAATTGTGATATCTTCACGTATTTGAAGTCAATAGTTTTTTTAAGAAGTGGTTAGTTATTCCTCATTTTAGGCTAATGATACCTCACGCTACTATATTAAGGTGAGGGATAATTAGCCAAGTCAGCCAAGTGGTCAGACAAGTTTTAGATCGGGCCCTTGCCGGCGACAATAGCTTGTGTCATAATGGCTTGTAATCTAGAATCGTCAATTTGTGGAATGATATAGCTTCGAGATTGTCGTCTTTCCATCCTGTGAGGCCGATGAAATCTTCGTCGCACAAGATCATCCGGAAACAAGATGTTTTCATCGTGGATCGAATGATGTCAAGGGAAGATCAGAAAATTCATAGAAGAAGCTTCTCCTCAAATTGATAGCTCGCTTGGGCAACTATTGAAACATTTCGGAAAAATTCACCGCATGACCTCAACATGCCATTCAGCTTGCGCGGGAGGCCATTTGGTACGAACAACAACCGTCATTGGAGTCACTGGAGATGATACGCTTCATGAAGTAATCAATAGCTTTTTGAAAGACCCCTCATTGAGATCGACTAGCACGCACAACAGTCACAACACTAGCTTTTTGAAAGACCCCTCATCGAGATCGACTAGCACGCACAACAGTCACAACACTGAGATAATGTGGTTCACCTTTCATAGGCTACGTCCACGGGCAAGAGCAGAACTTCACTAAAGCACGGATGATTACACAGCCCCATAGCCAAGCGCTACTCCAACTCCTTCACTCTCTCGATGCTATCCTAAATTGTACACAGAGAGAGTCACCTCTTCTCTTCTATACGAGAAGAGATAAGCTTGAATTCTATGAGTACTGTATATTTGGAAAGCACACTCGACGTGCTTTTGGAACTAACGTTCATAGTTTCAAGACAGTTCTTGAGTATGTTCATTCTGATGTGTGGGGCCCTTCCCTTGTTGCCTCACATTCTGGGAAGGAGTATTATGTTACGTTTATTGATGATTACTCAAGGTATGTGTGGATCTACTTTCTTCCACACAAGTCTGAAGTCTTTGTCACTTTTAAGAAGTGAAAAGCCCAAGTTTAGACTCAGTGATGAGAGAAGGTGAAGTTCTTGCGATCGGACAACGGTGGGGAGTACGTGTCTCAGGAGTTTGGAGCGTTCTGTGAAAATGAGGGGGTTACCCGCCACTTCACCAATGTTTATACTCCACAACAAAACAACGTGTTAGGGAGACTCAATCGAACGCTGTTGGATAGATCACGGAGTATGTTGAGCCATGCTGGTTTACCACAGATTTTTTGGGCTGAAGCCATCAATACTGCGGCTTATTTGATAAACTTGTCTCATTGTAGTGCAATAAGTTACAAAACTCCGTTTGAAATGTGGCATAAATGGAATGCT